AGATTAAATACACATAAATAAATCTGGAGCGTATGTGCATTTTAAAACACAAAACAAAAAAGGGGGTAAAACAGATGTTCTTGTTAACAAACAATGCATATCTCTGTGCAAGTTCACATGCATTGTGAGAAGTGTAGAAAATATCTAAAATGTTCATCCCATGAATACATTAAGCAGAAGTTGTAATACTTTATTTCCTGTGTGGCTGAAATGAAACTTTCTTCTGAGACAGTCTGAGAGCGTAAAACTAATTCGTATCTTTCTGAAATGACTTTATATGTTTTTTTTCTATGTTCTGCAAAACAAAGAAAAATATTAAATGGTCTAAGAAAGAACGTAAAGTGCTGTGATCCTCACAAGCAGAGCTGGGGTCGCACCTTAACAATCTGGGACTGTTAAAACACACAGCCCAGAGGTCAGAGGTCAGAGCCTGCCAAAGTGTCAAGCCCACTGGACGATAAGTGTAAGAAGTTTCCTTAATAAATGCAGTTTGTAGAAGAAATACACTGTTGTTGTGACGCAGCGACAGAACAGGAGTCGAGTTTTGCTGATGAGTTTCAAAACATTGTATGTGACCATTTAGTGGCACACTGATGTGTCAGCAGCAATGCATGTTTATTGAGACATATTCAACAAATTGCACTTGTTTTTCAGGATTTTCATCTTTAATTTTTCTAGACTGATTCCTAAAAAAGGGAATTGTTTTGATGTCTTGTGAGTTACTTATTCATTAATGTATATTTAAGCTTACTAAACTTGCACTATGTGCAGTTCTTGCGTATGCTACATTTGTTATAGTCGTATGGAATGCTTTTACTGGGTCACATGGGGCTGGAGCCTATCCCACCTGTAATATGGCACAATGGAAAGGTGACCTGTCTATTGCAGGGCTAACACAGAGAGACAACCGTTCACACTTAGACCAACACTCTTTCAAACATTTTCCTTTATTTAATATGAGAAACTGATTAAAACGTTTCTTGCAGGCCTAAACTGTTTGTCAGTTCAAGTTACCTTTCCGTGCCAAGAACATGCCAAGCAGGCCAGCCACGGTGATGGTGCCAAATCTGGGTAGAAAACCAGGAGGAGGGTCCTTCAGGTAATAGTATAAATCTGAGGAGCAGATAACAGAAATCAAGATGCTGACAAAAATACATTCAGCTTCCTTTAAAGAAAAGGTGTGACCTGTATCACTAATATTGGGACTACCATTAAACTAACAAAAAAAAAATAACTTTAAATAGATCACTCTCATCCTCTAATGTCTTACTGTGGGTAAGACTGAAGTACTGAATACATCACAAATTAAATATGTTTCTAAAGGTGCTATTTACATGAAAATCTGACCAGATGTGTGAAATAACCCTTCCAATCCACAAATGCCACAATATCAAACCAAAGATGCTCATAAATTAAGTTATGTGTAATAATGAGAAATCACACAGGGAGAAAGTATTGTATACACAGTATCAAACTTCACTGTTGGTATGCCGTTTTGGGGGTGATATGCAGCGCCTCTAGTGCTGCTTGACTCTCAGACAACTCTTCTGATAATTCTTTTCACTCCTCTGTCTGAAATCTTGCAGGAGGCATCTGGTCATGGTCGGTTTATGGTAACATGATGTTCTTTCCACTTTGTTCACTGGAATCTTCACTAGTTTAGAAATTCTTCGGTATGTTTTGCAACGGCCTTGAGAGAGCTAATTGGTTTTACACCTTAGTAATGAGACCCCTTCTTATAGGCCATCAGTTGCTGAAGAACCAGCTAATATAAATTTGCACTTTGCACAAGTGGCAGGACTGATTTAAGCTACTGTCATGACTTTCCACGACTTTTTGCACCTCCCTTTTCATGCGTTTGATACTTTTCCCTGTGTCATTTCTCGCTATTACACATAATTTATGGACATCTGTGGTTTGATTTCTTTGCATGTGTGAAATGGATGGGTTGTTACAGACACCTGGTGAGAATTTCACCTCAATAGCACCCCTTGAAATATATTTACTTAGTAAATGTGTGACATGTTGAAAACTTTAAATGTCTTATTATTATTGAAATTTGATATTTAGGTGCAATGTAACTAAGACTGTTGTTTGCCTGTTGTTTACTCACCTTCTCCAGCATGATAAAGATCAATACTTCCCCTTTTCACAGAGATACAGGCACCCTGCAGGGAACAGAAGACTAAACTGAAACCACTAGAAAGGTTCATCAAGAACATGCCTGTTTAAGCAACACTGAAACAGATACATGTGAGTCAGTGCTAACTGCTCACCCCCACCCAACAACCTGTGTTTCACAGAATCAAACTGTCAAATCTTCTTGCAGCAAACTTCATGCAGTTTAACTGAAGTTAAACTGCATGAAGTTTCCTGTCTAACTCCTAAACCTGCAAGAATCCTTCCTGCACCGAGCACTTGCAGCGTGTGGGATCGTGCTCTGTAAACCACAATGAGCAGCAAAAAGATAGCGGTGTCAACTAAATTCACAGGTGCAAGATAAGAGTTCTCTGGTGCATTTTAGCTGTCATATGTTTAAATATAAATGCGTTTCCACCACCTGCTCGTGTTAAAAGTGCAGAAGAGGATGTGAAAGCATGAACTACATCAGTGCTTGACGGTGAATGTGAATGAGATTTTTTCCTACATGCAGCTTTACATGTACACAAAGGGGGAAAAAAACTTGAATACCTTTACAGCATGCACAAATGGTAGTACTGTCTCTCTGGCTGTAGTCACTCCACCCTCGATGACCCCTGGACTCTCTGGGACAAACTTACTCTGAGCAGACTGCAACACCGGGTTGTAGATGTTGAGCTGGGGAAAGGGAGGTAGAGAGTTGGTGCGTTATTATGGCTATGAATGGCAATATCCCATACAAATCATGAATACACACCTTTTCTCGAGTAACCAGCCCATCAGCGGGCGCTTCATTCACAGAGTACACACGGAGGGAGGCTATTCCCAGCACAGTCGGGACGGCCACCATTACCACCTGGCAGGAGGGGGAACGTACACTGTAGTTTTAGTCAGTGTGTCAACACCACATCACTATCACAGCTTACTTCGTGGACTTTCAGTGGAAGAATTATTATATATATATTTTATATTATTAATTACAACAATACCACCATATATTTCAAAGCATCGCTTTTCCAGTCTTTCAAATATTTATTTATACTGCATTAATGAACTTCTAAGTATACATCCTGAGCTTATTCCCTTTGTTTTGTGTGTACAAACTGTTTCGAACTAGTTAAGCTAACTGACGTTAAGCGTTACTCTTACCGACAGTGTTTGTGTTGTAGCTTAATGCGGCTCTAGAAAGCTAACAAAGGCAGGGCTGACAGCTATTAAGGTTAAACAGCTGTTATACACTTTTAAAGATGCAACCTCTGCTAAAACCTTCCTCCGTGTATTCTTTTTAGGAGTCATTCAGCGAAGCTAGCACAGCACACATAGCTAGCAAAGATATTTCGTGCAGAGTAACAACGCCTGAGATGTGACAACCAGAACAAGTAAACATTAGCAGCTGCGGGGCACTTGACGCCAACATACAGTCTACACTTTCATTGAAAAGTCATTGTAATAAAAGCTAAAAACTTTGCTGAAGACAAAATGACATGCATTCACCTTGGCCGCCATGACAGCGCTCTCCCCCTTCTTCTGTTGGTTACAGCTTCGTTCTAGCCCAAAAAACCCCGCGGTCGGCTACTGCCACCTAATGGGCTGAAGTGGGAATTGCAGCTCGGCTGTGCTATCCTACTCGTCAAGTAAGTCCACATGTTGCTCACCCACTGAGCGGACAGTTGACCCTTGCCTTTGTACATTTGCATCAAAATAAAAATAAACTCCTACTCGCAGTTTCACATGTAAATGAGTTGTTATTTACGTTGCTGAGACATTGCCAGCATCGACCCTGAGGGGGCCTCATGTTCCAGCACCACAGGATTTCTCCACATTTAGTTTAGTTTTAATGAAGTGAATATGTATAAGGAAATTTACATTACTACTTAACTTTGTGCACAAGAGCTTTAAGATGTGTTCAGTCAGAAATCAACCTACACACACAAAGTTCTGCACCAGAACAGCACAGGTGCACATGTTGCACTGGATTTGATGAAACAGTATCAGTCTAGGAATTAATTTTTGGGTTGCCGGTGAAGCCACTAGATATCTGAGTTAAGGTTTGCAACATTGTTTACAAATGGAAATACATCAGGAATAGCTGCTGATTATGTATTGCATTTCAACAGCATCCTTCTTTTCCTCTCCATCTGGACTATTTACCTGCAGGCAACCAAAGCCTGCTCAAACCTGTTTTGTTAGTACTGAGAGTACAAGCAGACTACTAATGGAAGCTTCCAGTATCAATAAACCTTCTCTATATTTATATGCCAAAACTGTTTAGGCAATTGTGCACATACTCATTCCAATAGTAAGGCCCCAACAAATGGTAAATGGCCTGTATTTGTATAGTGCTTTACTAGTCCCTAAGGACCCCAAAGCGCTTTACACATCCAGTCATCCACCCATTCACACACACGTGATTGCAAGCTACATTGTAGCCACAGCCACCCTGGGGCGCACTGACAGAGGTGAGGCTGCTGGAAACTGGTAGGTAACGGGTGAAGTGTCTTGCCCAAGGACACAACAACCGAGACTGTCCAAGCCAGGGCTCGAACCGGCAACCTTCCGATTACAAGGTGAACTCCCAACTCTTGAGCCACAATCGCCCGGCAAGGCTATAGATCCCCAAGAGATGAATCCAGAATAAAGATTGTCTTTAAAAGAGTGCAGAGAGTGAAGCCAAGTGACAGCCTGGAAACAAAGCTTTTGCCCACCACATTGTAAACTGAAAAAGATATGATGGATAGATGGATGGCACGAGTTGCACAGCATGCTGTAGGGCTTCCTGCCCTTAACTTGAAACTGTTATTAACTAGAAGACACAGCAAAACTCTTCCAATAAATCAGAGGAAAGGCACACATTAACCGGCCATAGTGCAGAGGATTCAGTTTATTGAAGTCAAAGTTTAACAACTTAGGTTTACAATCTGTATTTTCTGTAATATATATTCATATATATGAAACCAAAAAAGGCTACTTTAGGAAGAATAAATGTAATTTTCTTTCTTTTTTAATATCGTCTTTAGTCATTTTAATGTACAGAATAACAGTAAGCTAATATTATCCTTGAAAAAGAGCAATATGTTCCTTTTTTTTAATGTCGCAGTGCAACTTACATCTTACACACCTGTGCAATGTACCATGAGGTGTACACCCCTGAAAGAACACACAGTGGAATCTCCCTTTTCGGCCTGTTTCTGCAGGTTTACACACACAAAAAGATTCGGGAGGAATAACACAGTCGGTGCCTACAAATGAAAACTCTCAGAACTCCTTTAATCTACAGTATGTCAGAGCAGCAGTTGGAGAAAGAAGACCAACACTACAGATGACAAACAGAGAGAGGTCTGCAGACTAAAACTGTATTGTAACTCTTCTACAGCTGCGCGTGTGTGTCTGTGTGTGTGTGTGTGTGTGCGTGCCTGTGTGTGGAAATAGTCAGTCCTTTCGTTGCCAAAGAGAGGATTGGGAGGCACAGGGAAAGTGCTTGCATCATTGAGTTTCTTTGTGTTACTCTCAAATTAATCATTAAAAAAACAAACTAGCAAAAAAAACAAAAATAAAGAAATAACAGGCAAATAACATGAGCTATATCTCTGGGGCACGTTTGATATTTCACTACAGTGTGACATGATGAAAACTCATGAAGAAGAACAACAGTAAAATATGAAGACTAAGTACAGACAGTGCTGGATGCAGCAGGTGCTACACGTGTCTCTCAGAGTCCTCGACGCTGGGGGGCACCGTTGAGTCCTTGGCCTGATATTGCAGATGAAATGATTCATCCCGGTTTCACAGACATTACAGACCGTTTAGTGCAGAGGTTATGACTGCCCAGTATCAACCATATGCTTAGAGGGAATGTCAAATTAGCTTTCACTTTGGAAGCAACTGCAGTGATGTCACTTGGAGTGAGGTGTCAGAAGCTTCTTTAGGATGCAGGTCGGTCTTCTATGTGAGCCAAACATCAAATTATAACCTGCTGCTTGGATGCTAAAGGAGAAGGAAAAACCTCCCTTAACTCTCATGGTACAGTACGTGTCTCTAAACACTGCAGAATGAAAAACAAAGACTTGAAAGCTACGAGCACATAAAGAAAAAGTCATCCTTCGATGGTACTTTTGCATCTATCATGCGCTACGAGTCTAATTACCTTGCAATTGTGAGAAGGAACAAAAAAAGGAACACAAATGATCCACAGTATTTTACCCTGTCCATTCAAATCAGTCCCAGGCCTTTGTCTCAAGCAACGCACCACCCAGAGAATGGTCAGCCATGATGTAAACCAGTAAAGACCATCAGCGACGGCTGTCGGTCGCATCCTATTTGTTCGACTGCTAAACACCCTGCATCTACAGAGTGAAGAGGGGGACACTGCAGAACCTTGGCATAGAATACATCATACTTTACATTATTTCTATGACACAAAACGTAAATAGATTTTATATAGTCTTCTATGTTTAAATATATTTGTAGACTGTACACAAATCTTTAGAAAATGAGACGGCAAATGCTTTTACCTGATATTTGAACAGCAATGGTAATGAGGCCGATGACACGTAGACCCTGTGATGCAGCCGATGAGATATAGAGATATAGAAAGTGCATTCGTTGTAGTGAGTGACTGAAAAAGAACTCTCTAAGCTCTTGCATTCACGGTTTAAGGAAAAAAAACTACGAAAGAAACCAAAAAAAAGTAATAATAATAAACTTGTTTTGCACCCGCACAAATACATACTCTCTGTCTTCCCTCCGCTACCTCTAGAAGCCTATCACAGTGGTAGTGGAACGCAAACATTTACATCAGTATACACATATACACAAGTCTTTGAGGACTAGAGAAAGAAGTCGCTAAGAAAAGAGAAGGTGATGGAGAGAAACGAGAGGAAGAGAAGATGCCAACAGAACTGCACTCGTTCAGAGGAGCCTCCTTCAGCACATGAATCCGGCCAGCGCAAAGGGGTTCTCGCTGATAAACCGACATTGCTGGCTACCTCTCACAGTTTCACACTTTACTTTCCCCGCACTGTGCCGTGAGATCAGCCTGAAATAACAGTGAGGTCCCTGTAACTCAAAAAGATACGCAAGAGGAAAAAAAACACAGAGAGAAAGGGGGAGAACTGGTGGCTCTGGGTGCAAAGTTCATCAGTACAAAAGTACAGTGTTGTGGTGAAAAGGGTTTTCCTCTGTATTGCTGCTACATAGCTCCCCCTTACCCCTAAAATAAAGCAGAAAAAAAAGCAAAAGCAAAACCTAGAGAATATAAAAGAAAAAATTTGTGTTAAAAGGTCTGTTTTTTCCCCCCGTTTTGCTTGACAAGCGTGTGGCGTTTATGCTGAGATCCATAGACAAAGGAAGATTAATGCTTTCTGTTCAGGCATGCAATTGGCACCCTGTGGGGTCCTCGGGATTATCAAAAGTTCATACACGCAGGTCTCAGACTGTTCCCTCTATGATATTTACACATCTTACAATGTGTGTGTGTGTGTGTGTGTGCATGCTCAGAGTCGTGACCAGGACAGAGGGTTAGCTAATGTAAAGCTCCGTGTTGCTGCGCGCGTGTGTGTGTTTGCGTGTGCGTGTCAGTTCAGCCTTCGCTTCTCGTCTCTTTCTCACACGTGGGTCTCGATGAAGGAGTGCGTGTGGGTCATGAGAGGTGCGGCCAGCGGGGAGAGGTCATCCTGGCCGTTGGTGCCGGGGCTGAGCTGGCAGATGTCTGAGTAGAGCTCGCTGTGCCACTGCTTCCATTCTCTGAAGGTTTGGGAGCACAGGCCAGGGTCCTCCAGGAGGGAACAGATCACTGCTAGCTCCGACTCTTTGGCCTGTAGGAGAAAAGCGTTACCGCATTAAATCCTCACGTTGTTTTTTTGTGTAAAAAAATCCAACAACAACCTGGTGACACTTATAATACACCCTGTGATAAAGGATGTAGTTCCCCTGTAATTAACTCATTCACTGCCAGCCATTGGCAGTGAATGAGTTAAACCCATTGACTCATTCACTGCAATTGACGGCTATAGACGTCAATGGCAGTGAATGAGTTAAATGGAAATTCAATGTATTTCAGTTGAAACTATAATGTAATTGTTGTATATTTATCTGTAAATATGGACTAGAATAAACGTAATATAAATGATAGAATAAAGGGGTAACATGTCAGCCAAGAAAATTGTACTTACACTGTAATTTTAAGTATAGTGTAAGTATGTAATTCTATGGTAATTTTACAGAAAAACATTATTTCCCCATCTTGCATCGTAAGTATGCTGTACTTTTCGGAGTGTGGGCCGTATTATGAAGTCGGGAAATCTTGCTTTTTTACATCTTTTTTTTCAATTCAATTCAATTCAGTTTTATTCACATAGCACAAAGCATAGAAGCTTCTTCAGTTCTAGGGTCAAATGCTGGAAAGTCACAGATTTAAGCCCTGTGGGAGTGTCCCCCCCAAGAGCGACAATGGACCCCCTAATGATCCTCTACCTAATCACGTGAGCCAAGGTGTGAAAACGGGTGTGGGTCACAAGCAGCCAAGGTTTCGGGTGAGCTCATTGTGAAACCTAACCCTATCATGTGATATCCTGAGGTCAGCTGGCCCAGGATGTGAGTGGGCGTTAAGGCGTCTGGGAAGGGATCTCAGAACTGGATTATAGATGGCAGAGAGTTGGTGTCGTAAACCCCCGCTTCTGTTCAAAGATGGTCGATCACAGTGGACATAAATTGATTCTTTCAGTCCCTTTTTCAAACCATCTGTCGTCTCTGTCCAAAATGTCATCCTCGAAAGAGTGACCTTTGTCCTTTAGATGCAAATGGACAGCCGAGTCTTGTCTCGTGGGGGTCCATTGTCCCTCTTTGGGGGACACTCCCACAGGGCTTAAATCTGGGACTCTCCTCTATTTGACGCTAGAACTGAAGAAGCTTCTCGGATGAGAGGTGAAACGTCTTCAAGCAACTTAAAGAAGTCCAGATGCTTTTCTTTCCAAGCTACTTAGACTACAATGACTTGGATGACTGAGAACCTTCACAGACTTTTAACAGGCGCCATCTTATTTTGGGTCTATCTTTATTTAAAATTCATCAAGTTGTTGTGCATCAATTAATAAATAAAGACGTTAAAAAATAACGATGTGAAAAGGCAAGATTAATCCATTCCATAATACGCCAGGAAAGGTACAGCATACTTATGATGTAAGGAGGGGAAGTATTGTTTGTTTTTCAGCAACATTTCCATGAAATGACACACTAAGGGGACACGTGACTAAGGGAGTTATGGGTTTACGGGTATTAGAAAGTTTTAAAACATGTTAAATCTTTGTTCCGTTTGTGACAGAAGTTGTTAATGATACCTTCAAGGTGCTACGGAGGGCTCGGACCCGGTGCAGCCTGTCGTTGAGCAGGGGGTCCCTGGCTCTCTGGATGAAACAGCGTCGAAGCTCCTGCCTGCTACATGGTCTAGGGTCTCCTAAAGCTGTCACGTTGGCTTGCTCCAGGGCCCGATAGAGCTGCTCTAGCCCATCCAGCGGCTCCGGCTCGCGGCACTCTGAAACTCGCCGCTCCCGTCCCTCCGACACCCTCCTCTCTCTGCTCTCCACTCTCAGCTCCCGCAGATCTAACGAGACGAGCGGTGAGAGACAGACCGATTACGTACAACTGACAGTTAGAAAAAAACCTAGCAAACAAAGTTGCATGTCATCCCACGCTCCTCAGAGATATTCTTGTTTTCTTTGGGGGGGTTTTCAGAAGTTAACTGAAATGTTTTTGTCCCATGTCTAGATTTGGATGCCTTTATACTAATGTGACACTGTTTTGTCTTTACAAAATAAATAAACGGTGAAGTAAAGAGAATTAGTTAACTCCGATCACTGGCACAAGTAATACTAAGAGCAGTATAAATAGTTTCACATGTGTCACACAGCAGGAAAGAGTCTATTTAGATGCATTCATAAAACCGGGAATTCTCAGTGGTTTAGGCAAGAGCTGCCTGGACACAATGAGCAGATTGCCGCACATGTGACGCCCACCTGCTAGCACGTACTGGAATATTATCTGTGTTATTCGCATATTGGTGCAAAAGGTATTCGTATGAGGGAGTTCCTGCAAAATTTCAAGACTGCAGTGCATCTGCAAAAACAGCTTAAGGAAAAACTATTACTTTCAGCTGCTCCCTTATTCATGAGGGGTCACAACAGCTGGTAGCTGCATGTGTCTGATTTAGCAGATTTTTACACCAGATGCCCTCCTGATGCAACCCCAAAGGGATTTGTGTCTCCTTTTGGGATCAAACTGGGAATTTTCACTGTTATGGAAGCTCTTTTGTTAGCTCTACCTCCTTAATACAAATAAAACTTATAGTAGTACCCTTTTTGGAGAGTGAACCTTTTGTTTGGTTACAGTGGATTTATGCATTCATGTTAAATCTTGGCTGAAGGCATCTGTATGTCATTGCTGCAAACCCTTTTAAATAACCTAACATGCACCTTCCTACAAATCTAACTACACATGGCATCGCCACAGGCCGCACTGGTATGAATATTGACAACAGAGTGGAAGGCTTGTGTACAGTTTGGGCCACAAGTTTACAAACACTCGTCATGGGCATGAATACCGTGGTCATTTAGGGCTTTTAATGATTTCTTTGTACTGTTTTATTTTCCAGCATCCATCTTTGATGACTATAAAAAAAACAAGAACTCGTGCACGAGTTTGAATTTATTTAGGATTTTCTCTGATCCACACAGGCTCAAGCTTATACATACACACATTTAAATCTCTCAGTAAATGTGTTTCAACTCCATATCACAGCAAAATGTGAAAGACGCGCCGGTCCACCGTTTCCATTTCACATTTTCGTCTCCAAAGCGTGAAATGTACGTGCATGCAGAAGTAGAAGTAAGTTGCAAAAGTTTTATGTTTAGATGAAACAAATATTTTACTATTTGGCAACAATTCACTTTAAACCAGTTGGTATATGGCTGAAAAGAAACGAAACAATGATCCTGAAAACACTTTAAAACTGGTTTGGAATAGATAAAGCAGACCAACATTTAGCATCTGAAACGGTCTTCCCCGAACTCAACACTATTGGAAATTTGTGGAGAATGCGTCAATGCCAAGTCCGTGCCTGGAAACCAACCAATTTAAATGAACCTAGTGCCAAAGAGAGGGGTCAACTATCCATCCAGGATTATGCCAGAAGCTCGTCGATGGCTCCCAAAACATCTGCAACTCTGTGAGGGACATTTACCCAAATATTAGTGAGAGGTGTACATATTTATTTGACCCTACAGATGTTGCTGTACAATCATTTGATCCTGGAAAAAGAAGAGTTTAAAGAAATCATTTAAAGTCCAAAACCATGAGATTCATGCCCATGATAGGTGTATATACACTTAGAACCACTGCAGACTATGTTCTGGGCTCTACATAGATTCAAAGCAGAAGTTTAAATTAAGTTTTAAAGTTTAAAAGATTTTTTGTTTGTTTAGTAGAAATGGGAATATTAGAGAAATATTATTATCTAATATTTACAGAATTTCTTTACATTTTTGTATCTGACAATGATCACATCATCATCATCGTTTATTTATATAGCACTTTAAAAACACACCTGGTAGACCAAAGTGCTGTACAATACTAATATTCACATAGTAATAAAACCAGACATAGCAATAAAAAATAAAAAATAAAAATAAATAAAAATGACACATGACAGCTTATATTAATTTCATAGTTGACTGTATTGAACACTGTTAGAAAACTGGGCTTTTTTAAAGCCTGAAAAGTCAGTGATTGCATACTAATCAGTAAATTAATCTGAGCCAGACATATTAATTTCCCTCTGGGATCAATAAAGTTATTCTTATTCTTCTTATTGTTAATGACTGAGCTGATATTTACTACATATTTTGACCTGGGCTCTACATAGATATGGGTGGGAGGATAGTTATATACAAAACAACACTGTAAACTTGATCAATTTTACATCATTTTGTGTCTCAATTCCTGTAAAATACTCAGAAGTTATGCACTACTTAAAGTTCCTTACAATATAGTTATTTCTTTATCATCATTACTTCTTTATTTCCTGTGAATAGTTGCTATAAATAGCTGAATTGTTACCCGATTACTTTAGATAAATATGACTGTATTATTCAGAAAACATAAAGTGAAATTACATTTAATTCTAGTCTTAGTCGTGGGCTGTGTTATAAAGAGCTTTTTTTTTTTTTACTTTAACTTAAATACATGACATTAATATTTTGTCTAATGTATACAACACTAGGAAAATATTAACCCTGTAACTTTCTTACCCTCCTCACCCTCAAGCATATCTGCAGCCTGCTCTTCTGCCTCCTCGTCTTCACTCCTCTCCTCCATGTGAGCAGAGGTGTGCAGCAGCTTTCCTGGCATCGGGTCCCTGTTCCTGGGGAGACTCTGGCTCCGCTGCTTGTGGGAGCGCCTGTGTGTGTGGCTGTGTGTGTACGGCCCCCGCTCCAGAGGGAAGGGCCCGTCCCGTTCTCTGTCCCTCTCTGCGGCGTGGTGTCTCCGTACGGGCAGCGTGGCCTGCCTGCGTCTCTCTGGGGACATGCCCTGTCTGCCCAGCCCTCCGTAGAACCCCATTTCTCCAGCCATGCTCCCCATTAAGCCGCCATACTCACTCTCCCCCGGTGCTGTCTGGAGGAAGTGCAGCCCTGTGCTGGTCAGAGGGGTCTCAATGAGGTCCTGCCAGGAGCGTCGTTCACGATGGGAAGAGCGGCAGCCGGATGAGTGGGTACTGGTGCTGCCTGTGCCAGTTCCCATGCCCATGCTGTCTCCACGCTGGTCCTCAGCAGAGGAGTGGGAGTGTGTGGACTCGCTGGAGAAATGCCGACCATGCTTAGGCTCCGGGAAGGGGCTAGAAGAATTAACCTGCGGAGGGAGAGGGGAGGTGGAAGAGACCATCTGTGGAGGAATGGGGGAGGTGGAGGCACTCATTGGTGGGGGGAGTGGGGATGGAGTGGAGCGCATGAGGCTCATGGAGCTCACTGAGCGGGGCAACTGGTCATAACTGTGGAGGAGGTTAGCCTGAACGGATCAAGAGTAAGAGAAGTGAGCAGGGATAGATGAAAGTGGTGAAGAGTGAAAGGTGAGCACAGATACAAGGAAACAGTGACCCGCAAGACGAGGAGGAGGAGGTGTGCAAGGGTGGAGAGAGGACAGGAGAAGGAAAGAAAGAGAGCAAAAGATGAGAATAAAAAAGCAATGAGATGGCTGAAGAGTAATCTACGAATGACTGACATGAGCATTGTGTGGCTCAGCTGAGATATTAATGACACCAGTGCCACTGGATTTTAATTCTCTGAGTAACATCAGAGCAGTGATGTAATGAGCATGTGCATGTCGCCACCTAGAGGTCAGACTAAGTACAAGTTCTGGCAGCAGAACACAGAGAAGTGATGGTCTTGGCTGCTTACAGAAGCCGTTAGGCTCACACTCTGATGTTTTATTAATGCCGAGCTCTGGTCTACGCAGATCGGAAAACTGTGGGGCTTTTAAGAATCAAATATTCTATCAGAATGAAACATTGCAAAGGAGTATAGTTGAGTGTGTTACTTACCGATGGTGTGCGATGGTAAGTATCACAGAATGATGAAGGTCCCTCCTGTTTGAGTGTCATCGAGCCGTCAACGTCGTCTTGATCGCTCTCACTCCAATAGTCTGACGTGACGATAAATACACATGCACATACAAAATTGTGCTAGTTATACACACACACACACACACACACAAAGTTTGAGGGAATCCTTTCTTGTCTAGCCCATCCACCTCACCTTCATCAGGGCGAGGCACCTTATCATCTGGTGTGTATCCAATAGCAGCTAGACCCAGCCGGTTCATCCACCTACAGGAAACAAGTGAAGCAAAGCATCAAAGGATAGATGAGAATAAGTCTAGACAAGATGATGAGAAGGAAGGATGGGTTATACTTGGTAAATGGTAGGTGATGAATAAAAAAACTTTCACTCTAAATAATTTAAGTTGTTTCTCTTAACAGCTGATGTCTAACTGACTCTATCCCCCCCAAAGAGAGGAGAAAGGCTTTGAGATAATTAATGAGATGGAGGCAGAAATAGAGAAAGACAAGAGAGAAAAACAGCCATTCTCTCTGAAGAGTGAGTCTCCGATGCTGTCTGCCTCCACGCTCCTGTCTGTCTCCAAACAGATCCCACCTTGTCCCGTGTCTCTCTACAGTCACCTAATAATAAAGTTGTGACTAAGAATAGTCTCCGACTTTGACAGGTTTCCTGTTCTTGCAAACTACAGTAAATAGGGCCTCCAACAGGAAATGACACACGCATTACATTTTTAAATTAAAAACAAAAAAACCCCTCATGAACAAAAAAGCAGCAACCCCTGCAGTTACTGGAGTGGCCACTTGGGGCATACTTCAAATTCAAATTCAAATTTTATTTGTCACACACACACAACCATACACAGTATGACATGGGGGTGAAATGCTTGTAGCTGTACAATGCCCGACCATTAAATGAGAGAAGAAAAGTTTTACAATATTTATAATTTACAGTTTACTACAAAAATTTACAAATTAACTTAGGAATTTACAGTAAAGAATGTGCAAATAGCAGAAGAGATTATAAAGATAAGGATTATAAATTATAGGATTATAGGAAATGTGTGGTGGTGCGTGTGGTGACGTGTGTGAGAGTCCAGTCTTATAGTGACGTGTTTGGGAGAGTCCAGTCCTACACCTGGTTCAGGACCCAAATAGCCTGGGGGAAGAAGCTCCTCCTCATTCTCTCTGTTTTGGCCTTAAGGGAGCGGAAGCGCTTCCCAGACCTCAACAGTGAGAAGAGTCCATTGTTGGGATGGGAGAGGTCCATCATAATCTTCCTAGCTTTGGTCTTGCACCGCTTGGTGTAGACGGACAGCAGGTCAGGGAGCTCTGATTGAATGATGCGTTCTGCCGAGCGCACCACCCTTTGCAGATCTCGTCTGTCCTGCTTGGTGCTGTTCCCAAACCAGGTGCAGATGTGCAGGACGCTCTCGATGGTGCAGGAGTAAAAGTTCTTGAGCACCTTCAGTGGCAGATGGAAGTCTCTAAGTCTTCTGAGGAAGAAGAGACGCTGACGGGCTTTCTTAACCAGGGTGTTGATGTGACAGGACCATGACAAGTCCCGAGTGATGTGGACACCCAAATATCGGAAACTGTCCACTCTCTCCACTGGCGTGCCACTGATGATGAGGGGTTTGTAATTCCTCGCCTGCTTTGTAGTCAAGTCCACGATCAGCTCCTTAGTCTTGCTGACGTTTAGGAGGAGGTTATTCTCCTGGCACCAGGTCTCCAGGTTCCTAATCTCCTCCAGGTAGGCCGTCTCGATGTTGTCGGAGATCAGGCCCACAACAACAGTGTCGTCAGCAAACTTGACAATGGAGGTGGTGTCTGATGTGGCTACACAGTCATAAGTGTACAGTGAGTACAGCAGGGGGCTTAAAACACAGCCCTGAGGCACTCCAGTGCTGAGTGAGATGGAGGGGGAGACTTGTTTTCCCACCCTCACTGATTGGGGTCTGTCTGTGAGGAAGTTGAGGATCCACTGACACAGTGATGAGCTGAGTCCTAGATCCGTCAACTTGGTGAAAAGCTTAGAGGGAATTATTGTGTTGAATGCTGAACTGTAGTCCACGAACAGCATCCTAACATAATTCCCTCTGCCAGTGTCCAGGTGACTCAGGGATGTGTGGAGCAGGTGACATATGGCATCGTCTGTGGAACGATTAGTCCGGTAAGCAAACTGAAATGAGTCGATGGTGGCAGGAAGTGAAGAAGTGATGTGATCTCTCATCAGTCTTTCAAAACACTTCATCACAATTGAAGTCAGTGCTACTGGACGGTAGTCATTGTGGCAAGCGGGCTGTTGTTTCTTTGGAACAGGGACAATGATGGACTGTTTGAAGCACGTGGGAACCATTGCTTGGGCCAGGGAGAGGTTGAAGATCTCCGTGAACACCGGCGCTAGTTGATCAGCGCAGGCTTTAAGGACCCGGCCAGGGATTGCATCTGGTCCTGCTGCCTTCCTGGTGTTCACCCTCCTGAAGGTGTTCCTCATGGCATGCTCTGTGATGACGAATGCATTTTCTTCACTGGTGCACTCCGAGCGCGCGCAGCCGTTTGTTGTTTTAATTGCTGCGGCGTCGAAGTGAGCATAAAACGTGTTCAGCTCATCAGCCAGTGAAGCATCTGCATTCATCATTGAAGAAGCTGGTCGTTTATAGTCTGTTATAGTCCGCAGTCCTTTCCACAGGCTCCTAGAGTCACACTGTCGTAGCTGTGACTCTAGTTTTTCCCCGTAGCTCCGCTTTGCCTTTCGGACCGCGCTGCGCACGTTGTAGGACGCAGCCTTCAAAGGTACTTACTTACTTCAAAGGTAAATAATATCCATACACTTTTATTTTCAATATTTACAGAAAAAATGACCTAAAGTTATTGATTTTGCTGCTAGGTGTCACTGTAGCAAGGTCACTGAACTGGACCTGTGCTTTTTAATTTTGTGACAAATAATGGCTTTATACATGGTTAACTGCGCTAATAGCATGTTCAATCGCCATTTAAAAAAATGTGTTTTATGTGTTTTTGTGTGTATAAATGAAATCCTAGTTTATTTGTTTTTATAGCACAGTTGTACAGTATGTTAAGACTGATTAGCAAGTATCTGTCGGAGCAAAGCACCCATTCAGTCTGCAGATGCTAACCGACTTGCTAGCGTTAGCCGATAGCTTAATGCTCTCATGTAAATGTGGTGATTTCTATCTAAATTAAAAACAAAAATAGACCAAAACACAAGGTATCACCAGCAAAAATGCTAAACTTTAAAGCATTTTAAACAAGCCTTCTTTAACCAGTTGTTGAAGTCATGTTAATTATGCATTTGTGTTTTGTATTTTTGTTTTTCTGCTAATAGCTCATATAGCTATTACCGCGTATTAATCCTTATATAAAAATAGTTCCTCACAATCCAATATTTTCCTCTTCTTTGATTAAAAAAAAAATGTAGCGCCAAGCTTTATTCTGCGCTTTTTAATAACACATTTACCACCAACCATTTGTTATGATACGCACTATGTTCAAAGCTTTGGAATAAGTTTCACAAACCATTCAGATATTATTGAGGAACAATGTCTCTATTGATGTGGTTTTATCTTGGCTAGTTTTCAGTGTTTAATCCCGAGTAGGTGTTGATACTGGAATGAATGGTTGTCTGCCTGATAGACTGGCCTCTCATCCAGCAACCCTGAATTCGATTTGCGGTTAAGACGGATACATGGATGAATTCCACAGGGAAACAGAAACCTTTTAGGACTTTGTGAACCACCACGAAGAATCAGGATCTAAATTTAGCTTCACTGTAAGTGCTGAAAAATGCTAACACCCACCTTTTCACACATAATGCCCAAGAAAATGCGTGAAACAACACTTTCACACAGGAACACTCCAGATGAAGTATGGAAGTCAAATATAGCTGATTAATTACTCTCTTCCAATTATCTCCCCATGTCATTGAGGAGAGGTGTGGATAATTAGAGCTCATCAGATAGCACTCCTGCAAATATATCTCTACAATCTATCTCTTGTAAGCACACACAACACACACACACACACACAAACAAGAGCATTTAACAAAGGAGGGCCAAGTTCATGCCTTATTCATGCTTAGAGTTGTGTTGGTGAGTTGTTCCCTGTGTAAACTTGATTTACTCCATTAAAATATTCATTAAAGGACACGTGACGTCCCCTGTCTCTGACGTTGGTCCATATTTAAAGAAACAAACCCAAAACACCACCCCACACACGCTCAGAAACTTGTATATATTCACAGTAACTCACCTGTTCATTTCCTCAAGACAATCTGTGGCGAAGAAGAAGCTCTTGATTTTCGGATGACAGGCTTTGAAGGCACTGCAGTCAGTCAGGGAGAAGAAGGACTGATTAGTGTTTTTGCGTGTGCGCAGTGGGTTTGTGCGTGCTCACGTTGTGTGGGTGAGCGCACATGTGCTTGATTAGTAATTTTTGGCGACATGTGAGAGACACTCACAATTTCCGTCTGCACTCTATGGCTCGGTCTATTCTGAACTCAGGGAGGCTGATGAAGCCCTCAGCCTTCTCATCCTGCAGGCAGAGACAGATGGAGAGTGGTGGTACAGCATCAACACACAGAACAAAATGTCATGCATACCAATTTTATTTGGGATACTAAGACTCTAGTCAAGCATATGAAAATAACATATGTTGTTTACATTGGCTGGGATAAAGTCCTTTTCCCACTTAACATTAAAAAGACAAGCTATGACTATCATAGCCAGAACATGGAGATAAAATCTTCTGCATAAACAAACTCATCCACTGTTAATTTCGTCTCGATGAGATTTTGGTTTCAAAATATTTCACATATACACTAACTGGTCAATTTATTAGGTACACAACCACATTGCAGCAACTCTGTTCATTTAGGCATGTAGGCATGGTCAAGACAGCCTGCTGAAGTTCATTTAAGTGACTCATTTAAACTGATTTAGGTGACTTTGACCATGGCATGGTCGTTGGTGCAAAACCGCTAATCTACTGGGATTTTCCCCTTACAGCTGTCTTTAGGGTTTAAGGAGTCTGAAAAAGCGAAAACATGTCAAAAGTGGAAGACTAGCCAGACTACTTTGAGCTGATAGGAAGGCAACAGTAAGCAGCAGAAGACCAGACCCGGCGCCACTCCTGTCAGCTAACAACAGGTAAATGAGGCTGCAATTCACACAGGCTAATCAAAATTGGGCAACAGACGATTGGAAAGAATTTGCCTGGTCTCCTGAGTCTCGATTTCTGCTGCTACAGATAACAGTGTCATAATTTGGCATAAACAACATGAAAGCATGGATCCATCCTGCCTCGTCTCATCTGTTGGTAGTGGTGTAGAGGAGGATTTCTTGGTACACTTTGGGCCCCTTCGTACCAAGAGAGCATTGTTTAAACACCACAGCCTACCCGCGTATTGTTCATGTCCATCCCTTTATAACCACAATGTCCCCATCTTCTGATGGATAATGAGATCAACCGAATGATCTTAAACTGGTTTCTTAAACGTGACTATTAAATGGCCTCCACATTCACCAGATATCGTTCACAGACAACTGTGTGTTGCTGTCATGTCAATACGGACCAAAATCAGCGAGAAATTGTTTCAGTACTTTGCTGTAAAACATTAAATTAATTTTTTGTTTACATTTTTTTTGTAATGAAAATTTTCAATTGAAAAAAGTATTATTTTATTTTAATTGACTAAATTATGCATTTCCTAGTTGCAGTCCAATTATAAGACACGGCGACAGAGATGTAGAAATGATATTAGCCTTTTTTCCTTGATTTTATGAGAAGATTTCATTACAGGAACAGTATGGGGTTCCATTTGTATTAAAATTATGGTCACATGCACACTTTCTATGTCAAATGAAAAGGTTCATGTCAACTCTGAACTGTACTCCAGCACGGACAGGCAGACCGTCGACATCTGTCACCTCACAAATCACCTGACAAGTCATCTTTGTGTCGGTGTACTTCTGGTTCTGCATGTTGTCTTTATGTGTCACCTGGCTTCTTGTTTTTACTAGTATCCTCATTATTACTTTGGCTGGTTCTATAGCCAAAACTACACAACACAGCTGTCACGGCGGGGTGCGCCGATGTGTGTGGAAACAGGACCCAAAAGCAGATGATGACGAGTAGTTGAAAGTTTGAGCAGAAAAGTGATCCTTTATTAGATGACGGCAGAAGTAAACCAGGAAACCAAAGTAAACTGACAAAACACTAAGAAACAAAACACTAAACGGTACTGAGACCAAAACCTAAACTATGACTGTGATGGAAAATAACCAGCAAATACTATGACTAAGACTAATGATGAATAACAGATGAAAATCATAACTAAGACCGAGGTCAAAATAAACAGAACCAGGCTAGAACTAGGGCAGAATAAACAGACGACCCGACAATGGCATGCAGAAAACAAAGGGCTTAAATAGAGACATGAGGTGAATCAGGGGAAGTGGAAACATATGGGGAAACAGCTGACAGCCATAAACCTAATGACACGACCAGGAGAGAAAAGCTAAATACAATTAACAGAGAACACATGACATTGTCAGAATAAAACAGGAAATACTAAAACTAAACATGACAACACAACTTAACAGACCTAATACGTGATGAATAAATACCAAACCCCAAAACATAGAAAACCCAGGAACAATAACCAATAACTGCCTAAACTAAAGGCAAAATAGGAAATAACACAAAAACTAATAACATATCAAAAAATACAAAGAAAAACTCAGAGTGCTGGGTCGGAGTCCCAGCCTGTGACAACAGCCAAATGAAAGCAAGTAAGATGATGTTTTGTCAAATGTTTGTCTGAAACAGACAGAGGAGATGTAAACCTGATTTCAGCAGAACCTCATAAATAAGAAAGAAAAGCCTCAAAACTAAAGAGAAAATCATTAACATTAATATCCTGTAGCACTCATTGCTATATGCTATTAATAATGCCTCATATGGTGTTTTTGTTTTTTATTCAAAAATCTAATTTGGTCTCTAATTTGAAAGAGAGCCATTATAGTCATTTGAAATATAATAATGTATCTGTATCAGACACTGTATTACACTTCATATGTGGACTGGTGAAGTTTTGTGTTGAAACTGTGACAACTAGCTAGTGTTCATTAGTTCTGGCAACAATAAGCACAGCGAAATTGCTGTGTTTTTGAATGTAATGCCTTACGTTTTGGTTGGTGTACCAGTAGAGACAAGACTCTTTGAGGATAAACCAGTACTTCCTCCATTTTTGGGTGAAGTAGCCTTTAGCGTCCTTCTTTTTCCATAGCCAGCCTTCACAGTCACCGTGGCCGAGATCCTTACAGGAGATTCTCCTTCGACTGGCACTAGTGAGGGAACCTAGCGAGGGAGAAGAAAGACCAAGAATCCTGAAGGTCTGACAGTGAAAATAAGTACTCTGTGTGTGCTAACATGTAATCAGTATTTGAAGTTGCTAATGCTAACAAATGAAATTCAAATGTTAGGAGTCTATTCTTTATCTCTGGGAGAATTTTAATCCCTGTCATTATCTCACAGCGATGAGTGATCATGTCTGGAGTTTAGACACATTTTCAGGGTAAATCACGGGGGCCTCAAGTGCTCCCATGCATGCAGCACTGCAGTGTGTTACTGTGAAGATCCTACACTGGAAAATAAAACAGAAAAGTACCTACCTTTACTTCTCTTTTTGGTTTTCGTTCTTAGGGAGGTGTAATGGAAAGACTAGATGGGGGAAAAAAGAAAGATATTAGAGAGAAAGTCTGTGGTTGTTTAATGGATGTACCACACAGCTAAGCGGCTAGCTCACACCGCAATGTTTAGCTGATTTTTTTCAAATTTTCATCAGGCACACTCCAAAGAGGATTACAGGCACAGGGCACAAGGCTAAACCTACCAGAGAGCAGGAAGTGACCTACAATCAGTAATAACCTGTGTGCCAAAGAGGTCAGGACTGCTCTTCTTTTAGACTTTTAGTAAATTAATAAAATACAAGTCTAACTCCAAAAAAGTTGGGATCTTGTATAAAATGTCAAAGTGGATTGGAGTGATTTGCAAGTCTCATAAAGGTATGTTTTAATCACCACAGAACATAGGAAACATATCAAATGTTTAAATTGAGCTATTTTGCTATCTAATGAAAAGTCTAAGGAGCTTGGAAAGAAAAGCGTCTGGATTTCTTTAAGTCGCTTGAAGACGTTTCACCTCTCATCCAAGAAGCTTCTTCGGTTCTAGGGTCAAATGGTGGAGAGTCCCAGATTTAAGCCCTGTGGGAGTGTCCCCTCCTCAAGAGGGACAATGGATGCCTTAATGATCCTCTACCTAATCACATGAGCCAAGGTGTGAAAACGGGTGTAGGTCACAAGCAGCCAAGGTTTCGGGTGAGCTCATTGTGAAACCTAACCCCACCCTATCATGTGATATCCTGAGGTCAGATGGCCCAGGATGTGAGTGGGCGTTAAGGCGTCTGGGGAAGGATCTCAGAACTGGATTATAGATGGCAGACAGTTGGTGTCGTAAGCCACCGCCTCTGTTCAAAGATGGTCGCTCACAGTGGACATAAATTGATTCTTTCAGTCCCTTTTGGATGTCAGTAGCTGTAAACCATGATTTGCATAGAGTAAAATGCAATTGTTTTATATATCTGTGCATTCCATCACCCGAGTCCAAGTTTGACACCAGTGGCTAGACTACCGCCTTGAGAATAAATGAGGTTTTTTTTGCTCTTTTGGTTTTGATCCTTGGATGTTTGTACAGCTGGCCAGAAGGCTGTGGCCCAAACTCTGAAGCTCAGAAGAGTTGGACTTTATCCATGCAGACCTTTGTCTGCACTCTCAGTCAAGCTCAGTCATGTATAGGTGTTTAAGGTCAGCCTGCTGCACCCAAATGATTTTTCCACAAGAGTTTTCTATATAAAAAAAACTGTAGATCAAAGAAGCTAATGCGTGTTTAGGTGATAGCATTAGTACTAACACAAATGAACAAGCCTAGCAGCTATTTGTTTGTCTGTTTACAGTCAAACAAGGTTAGTCACTGTACACGACAACTCATGTTGCTTTAGAGAAAAGACTGGGGCTAATGACTAAAGCAGCTCCCTGTGCCACAGTAGCCTAAAAATGGAAACCAATTCAACTTACCCGACTGTTATCTTTTTATTCAATTAAAGAAGTGCTAAATTGATTTAATCTCAGAAATCTCTCCTGCTCCTGTCTGGCTGTATGTTCAGCGATTAAGACATAATTGATCTCCGTGTAACAGCGAGATGCGGTTGCTAGGAGATTGTTGATGTAACTGTCACTTCATTAAAATGGTGCCAGAGTCAGAATCAGTATACTGAAGGCAGTGCTGCTTGAAAAATCCCATCATAATAAAGCATGTTAAGAAAATATAAAGCCAGCCCCCTTAGCACTGTTTTCCCCCTCACCTTCCTCATGGAGGCGGCTCCCGAGCTTCCTGAGCCCGAGTACCTGCAAGAAGGCACAGAGCTGAAAGTCAGCACAAATGACTCTCACAACCTCTTCCACCAATCACAAGCAAGCGGTGAAACCGCCAAGCAACCACGGACACAAACTCACCTGTCTGTTGTGTCTGCCCTCAGTGTGTCTGCACCTCTCTGAAAAATAAATAAAAATCATTAAATAACCTCTGAAACCTTCCATAATTCTGCACGCATATTTACACTGCACTGTATAAATGAATGAATAACAGCTAAAATGAAAACACCACAGTTATAAGACTCTATAACATGAGGATCACAGCAAAGCTGAGGATCAAGACTCATCAGCGCTGCACTGCCTTTTTTTACTGAATTGTTTTATGTTGCAGTCAAGTCTGCAGGGAAACTATTTGTGGCTAACTGCAGTGTTACGAGAATTGCTCCCAATTATAACACCACAAACATAATGACCTGAAGGGGGAGAGTGTCCCAGTAATATAACAGATATATGCTCCTGAAAAGTGACATTTTGCATTATAAACCACTTTGTTGTAACCACTTTAAATATGTTTTGATCTTAAAAAATGTATACTCCCAGGCCACTAAAGTAGGATTTTGATTTTTTTTACTTAAGCAATGGGTTTGGGTCATAAGTATTTGGACAGTAATGCTAATTTTGTAATTTTGCTTCATGCACCACTGCAGAGGATTTTTAATGAAAATACCAAACAATTATTAAAGTGCAGACTTTGCCAGGCCTTTACTGCAGTTGTTGCCACTTTTCTCTTTGGCTGTCATTGATTGACTTGGTCATTGAAGGATGTCACATTTCTTGACCTTGTGAATCTCTTGGCTTTGCAGCACGCTCGCTATTTGCACCGTGAAGTGCTGCCTGATCAGTTTTGCAGCACTCGACTGAATATGAGGAGAGAGTGTGCAGCCCTGCGCACTTCACAATTCACCCCGTTGTTTCTATGAGACGTCACATCATCAATAAACACTAGTCTGGGTCACTGGTGTCCATACATGGCCATGACATAATATTGACTCCACCATGTTAGACGGAGGATGTGGTCAAACTCTTTTAGATGTTCTCTTAGATGTGTAATCAGTGGTTTTCACCTTGGTGTTAAACCCTCCGTATTTCTATTCATGAATGCATCTCTTGATTGTAGACTTTGGCAATGACACACCTTCCTCCTCAAGAGGTTTCTTGACTTGGTTAGAGGTTGTGAAGCCAACCAAGTAAAGAAACCTCCAGTCTTTAGTTGTCTCCTGTGGTCTTTCTTGCTGAGTTTTCCCAATGCATTCCTTATATTAAAGAATAACCAGATTGTACTAGAAGCTTTTTCCCATCTTCCTAAATAGTTTTTTTCAGCCCAATAAGGCCCTCCTTCATGTGCATTAACATCTCTTTGTACCTCATATTAAGAGTTCAGGGAAAAGCTACCAAATACCCCTTGAACACATAAGATCAATACTAATCTATAATTTGGCTAATTGTTTATGGAATAATGAAGGAAGATCATCTGGCAGCAAAACCCCTTGTCAGTGAATTGCCAAAATACTTTTAGGCCTCTGAAAATGCAGGTCTGCGTGGAAAAATGTCTGTAATTTTTGAACAGTTAATACAGTACTTTTGTAAAAAAAAACCTTGAAATAAAGTTGAAGGATACACTTCAACCACATTTAGCCTGTTGGATTTAAAATTCACCGAGGTGGTGTAGAGAGGCAAAATTACAAAAATTATGACAATGTCAAACACGTATGGACCTAACTATAAAAATCTAGTTGCAGCTCAGTGAATTCACTTGTGGTGTCCTTTAAAAACATCTATTTTTTAAAAATCCATTATCACAAAATATTCTTCTTAAACAAATGGGACTACTTGTGAAGCTTTCTGTGCTCAAGGGATCCTCAGATCCTGAGCCACAGTGCGACGAGATCATTAGGAGCATTTGTTGCTGGAGAGCAGGGGCTCAGTCGGGGTTTCATTATCTCATAATCCTTGCAGTCTTCCAGGAGATTTTGCAACACAAGTACTGTTGCACGTTCTTTTGCTAGCCTTATACACTGCACATCTTACAGTACATGATATGAAGAATACGTCACCTGTATGGGCAATCTAATGGCATGCAGTGTAAAAAATGTGCAAAAACTAAAAAACAAAACAAAACAAAAAATCTTCTAAATGTCTGCCGTTCAGTTTGTGTGACATTTGCCAAACTGTTGCTATGATAGAAACGAATCAGACAGAGGAAATGAGACAGACAAAACCCACGGGTCATTTAGGTTAGCATATGCTTGTTAGTGCAGGATGGTATACTTCATGTCCCACCAAACAGGTATGACTCACCACCGTGAGAAACACGCAGCCGAGAGGGTTAGAGAGGGCCGGTGTGAGCTAAGCTGTTAGCTTGCCGTGTGGTGTGTGTGCGTGTTTGTGTTTGCGTGCGTAGTGTTTTAAGCACAGTCTGTCAGTTGAGCTTGTAATTGGTCTAGCTGATGCTGAGTCATACACCTACTCACAGGGATACGTGCTCCTGTGTGTGCGCACGGGAGCGTGTGTGTTTATTCAAAATAAACTCCTATTTAGACCCAGGCGTGTCTGAGGAGATGGGGGATATTAGGATGAGTTAGGATGAGTCGTGAGATGGCTACCCTGCATACAAATGCCCTCCTTGTATGCTCGTTTGTTTTGCGCGTAGCCGCGTGCACGTGAGCTTGTTGCGCACGGGAGAAACATATGAGCTATGGAGGGGAGTGCTTCGGTGTCACTGTCTTTCCCGTCATGGGCGATGCTGACGGCCGTGCAATAACACTTATCATTGTCGCTCTCCTCTGTGTCCTCTACCTGACAAATGCACACAAACACAACCGACAGCATGTCAGAAGGTGCGAACACCGCGACCTGTCCTACAGCCACCGGCAGGTCCCTTCTCAGAGGCCCAGATGCCTCTGATGATAAGAACAAGCAATTGTAGTTATGACTTAATGCTTTTGATCAGCTTTGTGCCATGTTATTCACTAATAATAAAGCTTCCGCTACACTCAGTTTTCTGCTTCGCTTCTGAAACTCTTTTCTGTTTCTCCAAACTCTTGTTGCTTGTTGCTTATTTTCTGATCATTTTAGCACTTGATACTTAATTTCCAGACATATCTGATGTTTGATAATAAGGAGAAAGGTTTGGCTAGAAATACACAAGCATTAAAGTTAACAAAAATGAAGGTAACACGTCGGTGTTTTGTTTCAGTGCGTTTCTTAACCCTGTCTTAGAAAAACCTAGTCCTAAGACCAGTAAATCCTAACAATGGTGTAAACCAGGGGTGGGGGAACTCCAGGCCTCAAGGGCCGGTGTCCTGCAGGTTTTAGATGTGCCCTTGATCCAACACAGCTGATTTAAATGGATAGATTACCTCCTCAACATGTCTTGAAGTTCTCCAGAGGTCTGGTAATGAACTAATCATTTTATTCAGGTATGTTGACCCAGGGTGAGATCTAAAACCTGCAGGACACCGGCCCTGGTGTAAACCTTTAAATTGGTGTCTATCAGTAGTTTAGTGTTTAAAAATGGCTCAATAATCTTAAACAGCTGAGCACTGTAGTCTGAAAAAAGTTAGTAAAACAAAGTAAATAACATATTTATTAGGAAATGTTCAAACTTGAATAATACACTGATCAGGCATAATATTCTGACCACCTGCCTAATAATGTGTTGGTCGAGTCATGGACTCCACTAGACCCCTGAAATGGTGCTGTGGTGTCTGGCACCGTTGTTGTTAGCAACAGACTGTAAAAACCCTGTAGGGGCTTCATGGATCATGAAGGGTGGACCCACAGATGCTCGATTTGATTGAGATCGGTGGAATTTGGAGGCCAAGTCAACTCCTCAAACTCGTTGTGCTCCTGAAACCATTCCTGAACTATTCCTGCTTTGTGGCAGGGCGCCCTATCTTGCTGAAAGAGGCAACAGCCTTTAGGGAATACAGTTTCCATGAAAGGGTGTTTATGGTCTGCAACAATGCTCAGGTAGGTGGTACAGGTCAAAGTAACATCCACATGGATGGGAGGACCCAAGGTTTCCCAGCAGAACATTACTCCAAGCATCATCCTGCCTCCGCTGGCTCGTCTTCTTCCCACAGTGCATCCTGGTGCCAGGTGATCCTCAGGTAAGTGACGCACATGCACTTGGCCATCCACGAAATATAAAAGAAAACACGATTCATCATGTTTTTTCCATTTCTCTGTGGTCCAGTTCTGATGCTCACATGCTCTCACGTGTTGTTGTCTGTTGGACAACAACAAACTGTGATGCTCTGTGTGCACCTTTCTATCAGTACCAGGCCTTTCTCTTCCATGGTTAATGTCAGACATCAAATACATCTGGAAATTAATTATCAGGAAACAGAAAATCAAGAATCAAGTCAGAAATATAATTGCTTGTTACTTTTTGAACAATAATTGCTACTTTTGTCGATGATAGAGCAACTCTGGTTAGCAGTGAAGCAACGGAAGGCCTTGGGTTCGAATCCACTGGCCGGCTCGGGCCTGAGTTTCCTCCCCCAGTCCACAGATAAGTGGTGATTGTAACGTGGCCCTAGGTGTAGATGTGAGGATGAATGGTTTTCCATCTCTGTGTGCCTCTTGCTCCTTACCAGCTTCGATAGGCTCCAGCACCATTTAATTTAGTTTTGAAAAGTTTATGTTTTCTTGAATGCAGGTTACTTTAACCCTGAAGCTCTTTGTGTTTTGAGCATGCTGATTTAAGATGTGTAAATGTGTTTTGGTTTCCTCTTCTTCAACTGACATTATCTTGATGACAGCACGTGTTGCTCCAAAATTTCTGTATACGTCCAGGATTAATGGTGCCTTCACAAATGTCATGCATTCATTAATGTCTACAAATGCCATCAGATGCTGGCTTTTGAATTTTGTGCTGACAGCAAAGTGGACTTCCCCTCTCTTTGGCTCCTTTATATGTTCTCCATATGACTATAAGGCTCTATCAAGAATGTCAGTCTAAATTGGTTTGACTATGGGACAGTTGTTTCACTTGGACACAGTCTGTTTTAAAATAGCTTGTGTCCTGATGAAGGTGGATAAAACTTACTCGCCCTGTATTTAAAGGCAACAATAAACGTTCAAAACTAATGTACTTACAGGCAAAGCTTCAGGTGGCTGGTCTAGGAGCAGGGTGGAGGACAGCATGGAGGGGCTGATGGGAAAACTAGGGCTGCTGGGATTACGGCTCTTACGCCTCGAGCGTCTGGTGGAATCCCGGCGGCTCTCTCTGCTCGGACCCTCGGGTTCTTCCTCGATCACCAGGATCTTGTCGTCACTAAGGTAGCGCAGGAGGGAGTTGTCTGAATCTGTATGGAAGAGGAGGGGGATTGAAGGGACATGGACATTAGATGATGGACAGGATCGATAGATTGGATGACAGTAAGAGGAAAACCACAGAGGGGGGGAGATAGCATATAAGAGCCAAAGGAGAAGCCCTGAGCAGAGCGGAAACAGACAAGACTGAATAGACCCTTACAGATAAAAACCCAACAGAAAAGGATAAAAGTGCCTCAGAGCTGTTGCATCTGACATGGCGCCACAGCTGGGGACATACATCTAATCTGTCTGCAGTGATTATGTTGATTTGGGAGGCACCACAACAACTAAATCTTGTTGGTCACAGAAAGTTTTATACTGCTTTGGCTCCACATAGACAATGCATCTTACCTAATTTGCTTCTTATCCGAACACTTAAATATTAGAAAACGAAAAAGTTACAGAGAGAACGAGAAGGAGAGGGAGAAGGGCAGAACCCCAACATTTGTATTGTGCTTTAATATTATTCATAGACTCTCTGATGGCAGAGTTGTGGATCCCCAGCTGAATACAAATTGAGTATTGCCGCAAAAAAAGGTGAAGCTGGGTAAAATCGGGAACATTGAAATATCCACATTTCCAGGGCAGCTGTATAAATGCAGTCGCTTTGCATTTATGTTCGTTTTTCACCCTGTCAGATACATACCTGGTAGATATGTATCCTCACACAACCACACCACCATGGATAACCAGAAGATGAGCTGAAATGTGTTGAGCTGAGTATGAAGCAAAGCACCAGTCTGAACAGTGTGTGTGAGGGCTGTGCTTTAGCATGTATAGGTGTTTGTGTGTGTGTACCTCGGCTCCCTCTCTTGCCCATGCTGGGTTCCTTGGCCTCGGCCATCCAGTTATATTCGGGAGGCATGGAAACGGGTCTGAGGTCACCTGGAAGTACCAATCATCAATCAGATAGTCTGCTATGGGGGAGGAACTGGAGGTGGGGTGTTTTGCAGGACGCAGCGACTAAGAGACAGAGTGGGACACAGCTGGTGGGGCAGACAGGTGGGAGCGAAGGTGTGTGCAGGTAGGGGGTTGGGCAGACTCTCGGGGGACTTACACAGCTTGCAAGGCGAGTGTCGAGTAAGGCCCCGTAATTAGGCTGAATTTATATTTTGTTGTCACTTAATTTCATTCGTATTTCAACAAAGCTTGACGGTGTCTTGAGTCACTCATTTCTTTATATTTTGCTTCCAAGGAGTCAGATTTTTGTGCAATTTTTAAAAGTGGCCTTGAGCAATAGTTCTCCAGCCTTTCTTGAGGTCTATCAAAGTTTTTCTTAGGACTTTGGCTGCTTTGTCAATCATTTGCAGTCCAGTACTGATACCTGAAAACGTGCGAGATCCTTCCTGCCGATGCCAAACAATGTTGGCCACAAATATTCTGTAAACAACACAACCCTGCTGGGTGACTCACGATGCCATCTCACAGCAGTGTGGGGCCAAGCTGGTGGCCATCATGAGGAGGAGGTCTCAGGCGTTTGTGCGTGTGTTCGGTTTATCCACAGCTACTGAGGCCCCCCTTTGTTAAACGAATAAACTGTTAAATTGCCACTATCTCAGACTTTAATCATCCAATCCAAGAAACGACACCAAACGAGAATCAGTAGCAGAATAAACTGTTTCCCCGTTTAAGGGTTAATAAACATGTTTCATAATGGTATAAGATTTATTGTCATCCACTGAAAAACCGTAGAAACTCAGCTATATTCAGCGGCAGGTATTCCAGGATGTGGCAGTTGAAAGCTGGGTTTATAGCTTTACATGTCACTTTGTACAACCTGTGCATAACAAGGCAAAAAACCACGAGGATGCTCCTGGTTGTGCTTGAAACCTTGAACTCTAACCGAACACAGCTAACAGTATCACAGGTCACTTTCTTTCACCAGTGATGACAGCTCAGTTTGAAGCAAAAATTTTATGTTTTCTTCCTACAAAAATCGAGGTCCACGGTGAGATCACAAAGTGCACAGTGCAGAAGAGACAAAACAAACATCGATCTAAAAATAGCAGCTGCACTGGAAGTGGCCCAGAGGTGCACGAGAAGATGACTTTGAAAGGGAAACTGATTAAATTCAAATCAGGCATGTTGTCTGTTCATAATGCCATGGTCCTGCAACTTCATTTAGCAATCCCCTCTCTTTGCCTTTGGAGGTATAGAAAATGCTAGCATATTCCACTATAGTATAGATATCCATGCTAGCATGTTAGCTGCTATTGACATTGCTAAAGTATATACTGTTGCACTCATGTCTGACATGACAGGTATTTTTTAAACCCATCATTTCTTTCTCAGCCACCATCCTGGTAAAGATTTGTCATGCTGTTTTGCCTGGCACAAAACGACACATGAAACATACGAGGACATTCTTGCATATGTAATCGCTAATATTAGTTTCATTTTGCCACTGTGCTCTCAGACTGCCTCGCTAAAGAGATGATAAAGTAATGTTGCCTTCTGACTCAGCTTCAATGACCCTCATCCTGCATGCCATATAGCTGTGCCTGAATAAACTCAGAGGAAGGGTGCATTACAGGAAGCTTTGGAAGTGATCTGGAACGAGGGTGGACACAGGTGGTGGGGCAGACAGGGAGCTGGAGACAGTTTATTTGGATTGACTGTTTGGCGTGTGATTTTGTTTTGCTTTTGGCACATGTGTCCGCCGGAAAATGACACAAAGGAGCAGAGCCATGAAGCGGGTGATGAACAAACATATAAGGAGGAGCTCTGAGAGCATGGTGAAAAGAAAAGGTGAGAGAGCTTGTGGGAGAAAGCATGATTTTTTTTTTTCCATTACAAACGCAGACCCAGAGCCATTCCTGCTCCATCCATGCCGCCTGGTCACGCTTGACCTCTTACCGTGGGTAGGGGTCTTATCTCGCCGACGAACCCCCGTATTGCGACCCCTGTCATAGTCAGGTCCCGGCGGTCCATCTCCTTCCAGCAAGGAGAAGTACTGACCGCTGTCCTGGTCCAGGTAGTAACTGACCGCCTCTGAACCTTTAGAGCCCGACTGGGAGCTAACGCTGTAGCGGCTGATGTCGTCACATGACATCAGACCCATCTCCTCCCTGGGGAGAGACAGCACAGCTTGTCATCACCGCTGTCATGAGTGTACTCATCATCGTTGTATCATAATAATCAATGTAATGGTCATCATCAGACATCTGCCTGTGTGTGAGGCTGACCTGGTGCTATAGAGTCCGGAAACAGGAGAGAGGATATAGACGTCCTGCATGCTGGGGGCATCCATTTTGGACATGCCCAAAGTTCCACCGGGTGTAGGTGAGGTGCTGGTGGGGCTGGTCGGGACCGGCTGAAGAGAGAGAACAGAAGAACAGAGAGAAAGGACGAGTCTTTAATGGGAGGATGGTGAGGGATCTCAGAGCACAACCTGCAGTAAGTGAGCATTAGAGCTTTCCCTGCTTCACAGAAAAACAAACAAGCACACAGTTTACGGTCCTACAAGGGAATGGAGCCTTTTATTTGTGATATCCTGCTCGCGCTGCACCTGGCATTTGTTTTAAGAGCGAATCACAAACAAGAGCGTTATCTCCACACCGCTGTCATGTCGCCTATGTTGTTTTTCCCTTTTTAAATACCTGCCTACCCCAAGTTCAGTCACTTCACCACCCTGTCATTTTGTCTCAAGCCTCTTCGTTCACACAGGCCTCTCCACGTCTGTTCCCATGACAACCCCTCCTTCTCCCATGCTCTCTTTGCTCTTCCTCGGTTCTCACCCCTCTGTAAACCCCTCCCTGCATCCCGTGCCACAAGAAAAAGCGGGGACAGAGGGAAAGTAGTGTAGCCTCCTACCTATGCTTGACTCAAGGACACCCATTTGTTACGGAGTCCTCCGTGAGGAGAGGATGCCTCACCTCTGATGTCACTGCGACTCAGTCCAAGTTTATAAACAAATTATATTAATTCTCAGACAAAACAGTCGGGGGTGGCAAATGCTTAGCTCGTGCCGCCACCCCTCCACCCCTGAGGAAGAGGCTTACAGATTTAGAAAAATGAAGTGTTTTACTGTCAGAGGAGTACGCTCCATTTTAGACGGAGACGACACAAGTGAAGACAGATAAACAGATATGAAGCCTGAGCAACGGCAAAGTGGGCAGTGCTCCCATTACGAAAGCCCGTGGTTTCATCATTTCATCAGCAGCGTATTAATCAAATTCATTTCATATTCCAAACTTTCCATCCTCTCCCCTCTCTCTCCCTCGCCTCTATCCCCCAGGCTGCCTCTGTCTTCCTCTTCTCTCTCCCGCACAGCCCTCCACTCATAAAGGCAGCTTACAGTAAGACGGCTTCACGATAAATAATGAAGGCGAGCTGGGAAGAGAACGACATGAGAGAGCAAATGAAATAGGACAAAGAGAGAAAGGGAAAGAGTGCTAGAGAGTGAGAGAGAGCACGGGAGACAAAGAGGGAAAGAGGTGGGGGAGCTGTGCAGTTTGGTGACTCGAACTGAGTCTGAAAACAGTAATTTAGTGATTACAGCCCACTGCTCCCTGCAAGGGAAAGGGATTGGGGGTAGAAGTAGGGAGAGATGGGAGTAACACAGCAGGAGAAATTCTAGTCTGTTAAAACAACACTTAAAGCATTTGACCCCCGCTGTGTCCACTCTAGACTACCTAAGAATCTACCACTAAAACCTTTCCCAGACCAATTTTCCTAGCCCCCCCCCCACACACACACACACACACACACACGACAAAGTAAAGGCCTTAAACGCTTAAGAATGTTTCAAAAAAAGGGGAGTTATTAAATTGAATGTTTTACCATTCCTTGGATTCTTTTACTGAGTTAAGTTCAGTGAGCCTGTAATTTTCAAGTCACAATAGGCCTTATCCACTGCAGACAATTTGGTGTGTTAGAGTATAAAAAGCGTCCATGTTTCACAGGAAGCCATGCAGTTTATCGGATCATCCGGATGTCAAACACTGCTGCACTGCCTGATATGTCAGAGTGTCGTTTCCTGCCTGTTCCTTGGTTGTAGACAAGTTTTTTTAAAAAGTGCTAATATAGTAAAATGCGACACCAAGCAGTCCTTTACAGTGAGACTGTGGAACTGGCCCAAAACAGGTGACGCCCACACTGGCACAAAAAGACACCTTGTGTGTAATTTCTGATATTACACACTTTAATGAAATGGCAGTATTTGACCCGGCTGAAATATCAGGAAAGTCACCTTTGGTGTATCAAAATAACAACATAATGCCATTGAATAAAGCTATGTAACGCCATATTCAACTCAATTCAGTTTTATTTATATAGATACTTCATATTGTGGGGTAAAGATCCTACAATAAAAAATGGCCTGTATTTGTATAGTGCTTTACTAGTCCCTAAGGACCCCAAAGCGCTTTACACATCCAGTCATTCACACACTGGTGATGGCAAGCCACGTTGTAGCCACAGCCACCCTGGGGCGCACTGACAGAGGCAAGGCTGCCGGACACTGGCGCCACCGGGCCCTCTGATCACCACCAGTAGGCAACAGGTGAAGTGTCTTGCCCAAGGACACAACGACCGAAACTATCCAAGCCGGGGCTTGAACCGGCAACCTTCCGATTACAAGGCAAACTCTTGAGCCACGATCGCCCCAGAGAGAAAACCCTAACAATCATATGACCCTCTATGAGCAAACACTTGGCAAAAGGAAAAAACTCCCTTTTAACAGGAAGAAACCTCCAGCAGAACCAGGCTCCCGGAGAGAGGACAGTTTAGATCTGCACTAACATTTCTGTTTGATCAGCACAATAAACATGTTTTGACTAGAACTAAACTGTCATCACACCTTCACATTTTCCACATGATGTGTAAATATCACACAAGTAATTTGTGTTCTTGATAACAATCAGTATGTTGACATACGTGAAATGTGCAGCAATTCTTTCACACCCGATAAACGTTAACATGAGGGTTCCCGATGGTTAGGGACAAATGCAATCGCATGGCAAGATGCTGTAAACAGACCAAACTTCAGTCACGAGAACAACTGAGCAACAACATGGGAATAGAGCAGCTGCAAGAGAATTGAACATTAATGAATCAATGATAGGGAAGTGGAGGAAGCAAGAAAAATGAGTTGAGTAAAGTTTGACTTATCTGACTGTTTTGTTTTGCTTAACGCGCCTTATAATCCGGTGCTCCTTATGGTCCGAAAAATACAGTACTAATCTAAACTTAAACTCAGCTATAACATTTACAGACAAATCTAAAATGTGCTGAAATAATAAACATTCAATCATAAGCACAGAAGTTATAAGCTACAGTGACTGATAAATAATGATAAATAAGCCATACTGTGACCCAGAGGGACACTCATGTCCACTTCATTATAGAAACCTGTTCAGCTGGTTGTTAATGCAAAAATCTATCTATCAGCCAATCACATGGCAGCAACTCAATGCATTTAGGAATTAGGCATGGTCAAGGTGCCCCGCTGAAGTTCAAATCAAGCATCAGAATGGGAAAGAAAAGTGATTTAAGTGACATTGAACCTGGCATGGCTGTTTATGCTACTCAAATAATCTCTTGTATACAACCAAGTTATACAGCAGAGCATCTCTGAACGCACAACACGTCGAGCATTGAAGCAGATGCCACTCTTTCAGCTAAGAACAAGCTATTGAGACTACAAATTGCACAGGCTCCCCAAACCTGGATAATTGAAGTTTGGAAAAATGCAGCCGGGTCTCACGAGTCTTGATTTCTGCTGCAACACTCGGAGTGGCAGGGACAGAATTTGGTGTGAAACAATGAGAAAACATGGATCCATCCTGCCTTGCATCAATGGTTCAGGCAGCTCATGGTTTAATAATATGAGAGATATTCTCCTGGCCCCTAACTATCAACTGAGCATTGTTTAAATGTCACAGCCCTATTTGAGGATTCTTGCTGACCATGTCTATCCCTTTGTGACAACAGTGTACCCATCTCCTGATGGCTGGATAACCCACCGTGTCAAAAAGCTCAAATGGATCCGTTTTTTGGGGGGATGCGGCGGACAGGATGTGCAAGAATCTGCTGCAAATGTTTTAAGGTATCATGTCAGTATGGCCCAATATCCCCCCCAGTATTAGCAAAGTGTACATAATGAAGTGGCCAGTGACTATATTTAAAGCAAGCCCATGTGGAAAAAATAGAAATGGCATATACCGATGTGTCAAATTAACAGTGTGACATTTGGAGAAATGTAATTATTTGCTTTAATGCCTCTAGTTAGATGAAGAGATTGATACCACTCATATGACTGCACTGAGTATGAAACTAGGAGCTGAAAACACCACACAGCACAATAACAGACCAAAAGAACGACTTGTGATTATTAAAAAAATAATAGAAATCAATAACTTCCCTCGCACTCAGCTAGCCAATCAATTAAGAGCTTCACTGCCAATACATGTTGCTCAAAATAGCAGGTTTTTATCAAGAGTAATGGTTTATATGTCTGAGCATGTAACAGGTTTGTGAAAGCAGGGTCACAGACAACGTGTGGCGCATGTGTGACCTGTGACGTGGATGCTCTCAGTAACACATACATGTTGCAGCAGCCCAGAAGACATTCATGCAAGAATGCACGCATGCGGTATGCATCATCACGGTAATCCTCGTGTTCTCTTTTAAAACCCTTTCACATGTAATGACAGTGAATCATCAAATTGCTTTTACTCCTTCCTGCTGCTCACAAACCGGCACACACATAGAAAGAACGAGAGAGAGAGCAAAGGAGAGAGATATGTCATTATTTAGTAGAATAAAAGACGTTGCCATGGAAGGATTTCGGGAGCTTGGAATCACATGATAACATGCCGAGATAAATTGTTTCCTTTGTGGATTCAGTTATAATCCAGCTGTACATTTGCCACATTTCAGCTAAACTTCGCAGCCCTTACAATTCATCCTCCAAAATTGAGCTCAGAGGTGCGAGTGCGCATGTCTTCTCTATGTGTGTTTGATTTGGAAACGTGCATGTACAGTAATGCATCCAAAAACCAGCACTTACACAGTGAAGTGACCCAGTTCCCTCGCCTCTCAAAGGAGCAACGGGTCCGATGACGGGGAATCATCTCTCCGCATGCATGCACAAACACATACAGTAACACACTTGCTCCGACACCCAGATGGACCAGCGTGCATGCGGCCAAGCTCAGCAATGTGCGCACACCCACCTCTCTCCACCGCACACACACACACACATGCTCACACACAAACAGGCTGTTTAGCAAGATATTTTGGATTCAGTGAATTATCTACAGTATTTGCTGAGTAGCAGCTCTTGTTTCAGAGCCAGTGGAGCTGCCTGTAGTTGCTTATGAATAATTAAGAGATCCAGTCTTTCTGAGAGAGAACAAAACTAAAACACTCCTTTCTTCTCTTCTCCAGCAGATATCTCTGCGCTCTGATCTGGGCCCCTCATGGCGCGTTTATGTCTAAGCAGTCCGTCAGAGTAGAATTCCCACAATCCCCTGCTATTGCATAAATATAACAATAGGCTCCTGATGACAACTCGGGGGCCGTGATAACAAGGCAGCAACCTGGAAACGAGAAGAGTCTTTTACCTTGTTATGATCTTTCACCTTGTGGTGATGAAGTTGAGCGCTATTGCACATCGCTACCCAGAAGCTGCAATTTCTGCATAAATATACACTTGCATGCATGCCACCTAATAATGCAGTTATATGCTCACAGAAAGCACAGAATAAAAAAGGAGCATACGAAAAAATAAAAACAAACAAAAAAACCCTCAAAAAGCTAAAGAGCAGCTGAACAGAGATCAAAGCATACATGTAGCATGTAAATGAATTAGCCTGATGCTGAGATAAAAATAGCAGTGCAACACAGGATCTTGACAAAACATTTGGCGCTTCAGAGAGCACTCAGGCAGCATCAGACTAGCCCTCGCCTCACCCCTCCGTCCGTCTCGGCACAGCTCGTTCTTTCTGTGTGCCTAAATTGCTCAGTGATATTTCTGGGCGGCGAGTGACAGATTAACAAAGTATTTGCCCTTAAGTGAAATGTGTACACCCACTACGAGCTGCGAGACTTCAAACAGGCGTTCCACCTTTAAGATCTACAGTACATTAAAAATTTACTCGTCTTTGACAACGAGACGATCTCTGGGGCAAAGGTTGAATGAATCGGGACTAAAGTCTCAATAAATCTGAATGTGAGCAGGAGGGGAGTGGGATGGGGACCCCTCGGATTACCTTTTGTTGCCTAAACTCTTTCTCTCCAGCATAAAACTTTAGGCCACGTTGCGCTATTTACATCCTTTACACAAGATCGAAATAAAGTGCAGATTTAATTAGGTAGTTTACTCTCCACTGCTATGATATTTTAGCATTATTGCTGTTTAACAAAAAAAAAGCAAGCCTTCTGTATGCCTAAATTCTCTTCAGGTTGAGCATTAGCTGCCTACGCATTTTTGAATGGCTTTGAACGCTGCCAGCAGTGTGGCAAATGGTAAAAAAGATTTCTTAAATGCTCAACGGAAGGACTGATACAAGGTCAATCAGGGAATAAGTTTCTTTTAAAACAATATTCGTTTAAAATGCCAGGAGCAGAATGCAGAGTGTGGGCAGTAAAAGCAAGAGTGAGAGTGAGTCAAAGATGGAAGTACTACACAGGTTACTACATGTGAATTTACACTGTAGCTGTCGAGTGTGCTGATAAGGATGCATGAGACTAAACAGAAGGGGAGTAATACAAGTAATACAAGTTTCTGACATCTCCGTTCACATTTTAGTCACAGTAATTCTTCAAACTGAGTCTGACCGTTTGTCCGGTCAGCATGCGAGACATTAATGCGTCTGTGAGTTGTGCTGGTGTTTACCTGCAGGCCCAGTGGTTTCCAGCGGACGTTCCTGAGCAGAGCTGGTGTGGAGCTCAGGGTGTTCTGGGGCCTTTTCTTCAGCGTGAGGATGACTCCACATGGGTCCTCTCTTAGAGCATTCACCAGGTTCTTCAGTTGCCAGCCCACCTGAGAAACACACATACCAGGCTCCCGAAACGACTGCTGCAAACTGCTACACAATGAATCAGGCTCATCTGAATCTGTTGTGGAAAACCACCATGCACAGCAGCAGATATAGGACTGACTGCTGCTGCAAACCACCACACACATGCTTTTGATACTGCTTGTCCAAAAGAGTGTATGTTTCTAGGACATATTATACATTTTTTTTTCCAGACAGAGAGTAATAATAGTATGAAAAAAATTATTAGAAAAGCCACTGGAGCAGCTCTAGTATACAGCTTAGACAAACCAGCATCCTGTGAGGAACTTCTGTTTTAAATGTCCAATAGATAGATATCATCACTGCCAGCCAGTTCCATTCATGTTATACACAAATATTCCCTACAAAGATAGAATTATCTAACATGCTAACTTCATACCTACCTAAATAGTACCTGCTAGCTTTCAAAATATCACCTGCTTTCACTCTCTGGTATGTCTGTCTTGTAAGATTTGTTAATGTGATTGGTCAAAATTGGTTAGTTGACACGCAGTGATGGACAGCTAAGTTTATTTTTCACTAGTGCCTGGCCTTATCCGAAAACTTTCCAAGCATGATTTCCAGCCAAGTTGACTTTCAGTCCGTTTTCTTCTGCACTCAGTGTCACAGGGTTGCTGTAGCCTATGCCAGCTGTCATAAGGCAAAAGGCAGGGTTGCCAGTTTGTGGCAGGGCTAACAAATTGAGACAGAAAAATTTTACAGTCACATTCACACCTATGGCCAATTTAGAATCCCCAATTAAACCAATATGCATTTTTACTGTGGAAGCAAGTCAGATTACCCGGAAAGAACCCACAGGTGTGCATGTAATACCATCTATAATAAACCTCTAATTTGCAATTTCTGAAACTAGTTACCAAATTAGTTTAGAGTTTGCTATTTAACTCAAAGCTAAAATTCGATGTAGTCTAATACAAGCACGTCTAACCTAAAAGGAAAAAATGTTCCGATTTAATAGTTGCAAACATACAAGCTGCAACACAGAGTGTTTGAATGCTAAACTTTGTAGCCTTAAGTAAAGCAAAAAACTGACCACAGTGGCCCCACTGGTCTAGAAGAAGTGTCATATTTAAATAGAGGGTTGCTTAGTCAGTATAGTTAGGCCTAAGGAATGCAGAAAAGAGAGAGAGAAAGGAGTGCTGACTGCAGCAATTCTGGCCGGCCTGTCTCCAGAGCTCGAAGTAGTCGTCAGGCCATTGATTGGCTACACTGGTCTCAGCCACTGTAAATGTCCGCAGAGGCCACATACACTCGCATGCACACTCAGCCACACACAGAGACAGAGCTGCTCTGACCTTATTCCTGACATAATGATGGCCTGTGTCGGCCTGTAGCGTCCACTTTCCCCCTCTCCAGTTCAGAGCTCTGAGTTCAGTCAGTGTTCAAATGCAGGAAGAGCCTGGGTCAAAGTGAGTTACTGCTGTCTGTTCTCTCCTGCCACTTAAACCAAAAAGGGGTTATTCCTGGACACACTAAAACTGGTGCCATTCATCTGTGCTGTAATTTACCAATGTGAACTGTTGAGCTCAAGCTCAAATCCTTGTGCGAGGGGTAAGGACATTTATCAAACAGAAGTGTGGAAACAAATAGTTCCTGTCATCTAAACACCTTCAAGCATCGAAAGCTAGCTTTGAATCTCTGGTCAGATTTTAAATCTTGTTTACGATACATTAATCAGCTCCTGATTTGAAATAAAAGTCGACTCATTTTAGACAAAGCTTTAAAGAGCTGTGTACGCTCACAGAACATTTACCATTTAAGCATTTTGGCCTCTTTTATAGTAGGAAAACTTCAACATGTTGGGACATTCTTGTCGTACTTGGCTGCTGAGCTGATTGCTAGCAAACTGTTTAGCATGAAGTGATAACCACACAACAATTAGCCAAGCTTAGTGTAATCACTTGGGAAATGGTGGAAACAGGTAGCTCAAATCTGACAAAATGTAGAAAAAAACAAACAAAAAAAACCCCTTTATATCAGTGCGTCTGAAGTTTAACAATTAGTGCAATATCTTGTTTGTTGAAGCAAACGCTGCCCCCACCTGACTTAGCTATGCTAAGCTAATCCTGTCGTGTCTGTAGTTTTGAAGCTACATGAGTTGATAAGACTGTGGTTCGATTTCCTTTCCTTGATTTTTATGCAGCTAAACTGCGAGTGAGCTGAACTCGACTTTTATCAAGCTAAACTTTTGTTTCTTCCATGACTTTAAGCTCCACAGCAACATAGTGCATTGTAAACTACAAGGGCTCACACAGCTACTGGTAACCAGCCCAGTTTAGGTCTCCTCTCTTATCCAAATACACAGATAGCAAAGGGAAGCAGGGAGAGACCTACCAAAATAACAGAGCATAAACTGCTGCTGGAGAGCTTTTTTCAAATCCCAGGGGTCTTCATTATTTTCCCAGATGCTATTACCTCCACATAATTATGCTGCCTCTTCAAACAATCAGTTTTTTATTTGAGCAAATTCCACATTTTTCCTCAGAAAACGAGCTGAGCTAAAAAAAACAACTCCCTGTTTTGAAGTGAGTCTCCAAAAACCCTCATTCACAGACACGAAGGCAGCGTTGTTGCTTAATAGGCCTACATGATGATTCCATAATGTAACGGAATTTGTACGATCCATATTCACACTAATGTAATTTTAACTTTGAAGGCTGATAAGATGAACTTATCAATTGCTGTTGACAGTTACAGTTTACTGGTGGTGTGTATCCGTCTTTACTCTTTAGCAGCTCAATTTGGGATTGAACGAAGAGCTGTGTTGACTGGAGACTTCCCTCTGCTGTCTCTCCCCCCTCTTCTCTTCTTCTTTTATCCCCTTACTCTTCTCCCCAAGTCCCTCTTTACTTCCTCCTCCCTCCCACCAACTCTCCCAGCTCTGCCTCAGCATCTCAGCCTCCCCCAAATGCTTCAGCCCCCCCCACCGTACACGCACACACACCTCTGTTTCCCCCACTGCTTATCTCCTACCCCAGAGTGAGGTATCAGAGTGGTGAGGGTCTAGCTGAGGGAGTAATGAAGGGTTGGAGCTGAGAGCCTGGCAGGGTGCGATCTGCACCGTCACCCCGAGGAGAGAGAGACAGAGATAACACCTACCTCCCTCACATGTCAATCAGAACCGCTCCCAAGCCCCTGCATGCATGCTTTCGCATGAGCAACACCTATCAAGATGCACAAGGAAATTCATATGGGGAAAAAAGCAGACAAAAGACGTCTGCACACAGACACAACACTCCCCCCTTCAGAAAACTCATATAAACACTGGAACAAATTGTTTGTGCCCGAGCTGACAGCACAGGCAATAGATAGGCACGTTCAATCACATGCCCTCACAAGCCATCGTTCCATTTAAAATGGCTGCCCATTTCTCTGCTTTTCTCTGATGTGATGAGTTATAGGCAGAATACAGCTTTTCACATATGAAAGTGGAACATGGGCTCTCATTTCAAACAGGATGCCTCCTTCAGGGTTTTTTTTTTCTGACAATAGGAAGAAATTCCAGAAAGAGTGAGCAGATAATCACACTGGTCTGAATAAAGGTCTTCTAACAATTGCCCTATAATCTGCTCCTGCCTCTAGCCTAATTAGCCTATATAGCAACACAGGCACAGGACAGGAAGCACCATGGTGGCAGCAGTGGTGGTGCCGGCAGACATTATGTACCTTGGCACCTCCTTAACATAGCACATAATGGGAACAAAAGACTGCAGTCACGGTGGAAACAAATGGAAAGGACCTTTTCTGTAATTTTTTATGCCTTCAGTGTTGTGTTTGGCAGGTCTTTAGCTCACCACTGTCTGGTGGTTGACTTGGATCACCTCATCCCCTGGATGGATCTTCTTACACTGATCTGCTGGAGACTGCAGAGGCAAAAAATGGAGGACAAAAACAGACAATGGAAACAAATTTAGGCGAATACTGAGGCAACAAAATCGGTGTTATATTGGGGTTGGTGGAGCATCAACCTTTCAAATGAGTGAAGCAAAAACTCACATTCTCTGTGGTTCCGGTGATAACATGGAGTCCATCATATGTTGATTTTATATACATCCCCTGAAGCGCAAGCAAACACAGGTAGGCAGGGTGGATTTAGTATAAGAGTACACAGGGAAATACATCATATGTACAGTACTGTGCAAAAGTCTTGAGCTGCCGTTCGTGTTTTTATATTTTGCTAGATAAATGGGAAATAGGTGCACCGGTTTATGAGCGGTTTACACAGTAATATAAGGGAAAAACAGAGTTTGCATAATACTGACAAACTTGATTGTTTAATACAGCATGAACTCTCTTAGCCAAGCTTTATTCTAATTTCTACAAGTAGTCTTCAGGAATAGTTCCCCAGGCTTGCTGAAGGACATTCAAAGCTCTTCTTTGCACGTTGACTGCCCTTTGCTTTGTTCTCTGTAAAGATGATCCCACAATGCTCTAATAACATTGAGGTCCAGGCTCTGTAGAGGCCAATCCATGACTGATAGAGGTCCATTGTGTGATTTTCTACACAGGTATGCTGTTACTGTACTGGAAGTGTGTTTGGGATCATTGCCACGTTGAAAAATGAAGCTGTTGCCAATCAGACACCTTATAGACAAGACACCGGAAGCGAACCAATATTTCCATCCCGAGCAAAATCCACCTTTTCCGGACACTGATCCTGCCGATTCTACTCTATGGATCCGAAACGTGGACGGTGCTCAAAGTGGACCTCAACAAACTCAAAGTTTTCCAGATGCGTTACCTTCGGCAAATATTGCGAGTATCACTTCGAGACCGCCTTCGAAATGAGGACATCCGACGGATGTGCGACAACCAACCACCAATCGAGGAGCAAATTCAAAAACGCAGATCGCGATGGTTTGGCCATGTGTGTCGAATGGACGCGAGCCGACTACCACACCAACTCTTCTGGTGTAAACGACCCACCCACTGGAGAATCCAACAAATAGCACCAAAGAAAACATGGCTAAAACAGGTCGAAGATGACGTCAGAGATTGCAGAATAAATCTCGACAAGGCCAGGACAATCGCCAACGATCGTCATGCATGGAAACGAGTTGTGAAGGAAATTCGACATCCATTGGCACCCACCATTGGCGTATTGGCTTAGGAGCCGATCCAGGCCTAACGCCAGCTAGGGATCAAAGAAGAAGAACAAGATTGATAGATAAGACACCACCAATGGCTTGAAATGCAGCCTAAACCACGACAGAGCCTCCACCGTGTACATACATGTTGAAAATTACTTGAACAGAAATTTCCAGTTAGGATTCATCACTCCATCAGACCTGTTGCCACATATTTTCAGTCCAGTTCTTGTGTAATTTGCTATCAGTTTCTCTCTGTTTTACATCCTTCCTTGACAGTCACCCTACCACATAGACCATTTCTGATGAGGCTTCAGTGAGCAGTTGGTGGATCAGCTGAAGGACCAGATACATTTCTCAGGTCTTCTGTCAGGTCTTTGCTGGAGGTTTTCCTATTTCTTAAGGACATGACTTCTCGTCTGCTGTAGATAGTTTTTTAGGCTTACCAGTTTGACTTTTGTCCAGGATGCACTGCACACAATGGCAGGATACAAGTTTTTTGTCTAGAACTTCTTTGGCATTTTCAAGACCTCTGCACAGTGCTGCATATTTATCCTTTGACCTGAAAAGTGAGAACTTCAGACCTAGTTAGGAAATATTTGCTGTGAGACTTCAACTGTACAGATGGATCATTTTAAAGGAAAGGCTAACACAAAGTTTCCGGATAGCCAAGAACCACCAAAACACTCAAACTGCCGGTCCAAATTCTGCACTCTTACTTGACTGGGCTTTCTATGAGACTACAGTTTTATGATACTTGCAAAAAATAAACCAAGACCTGGAGCCTGGAAAATGTAAATTAAGAGCTGTATAAGTGCTTCCTGGAAGACTTTTAGGTTAGAAGATGCTATGCAACTACAGGTTGCCTTTCACAGTACAAATATAATTTAATCGATTGTCGAAATAAAGTACTTGTTGATATATGCAGTTTTAAAACAGCCTTAGTTTGTTTGATTGTGTGCATCTTCAAAGAGGTCCTCACCAGGCCTTCGTTTGGCATGATGCTGGTAAGGTGGACCACCTCCAGATGGGCAGACTGAGAGACCAGAGAGTCTGACGACAGAGAGATGATGTGATCGCATATCCCTGCTAAGGTCTTACACTGAAGATGGAGGCAAAGAGAGCAGGGAAAATGACAGGAAGAAAGAAAAAGACAGAAAAAGAGGAAGACAGAAAGTTATTGAGATTGGTTTTGGGCCGCAAGGGATGCTGTGACCTAGCTGGAGGAGGTGAAACAGACATTATTTCATCAGATTGTTCCATGTCGCCACTTCCATCAATCCAGCGCACAAACTGTTTCCTGTCACAGTCCGCCCACAGGCATGCCCACAAGACACCGTCACAGACAGAACAACACATCAGCCGTACTAGCCAGCCTGAGGTGTTCAGTTGACATTTTCTAACGTCTAAATTACAGAGCACAGTTTCCATTTGTTTTTTTTATCAGTAACATTTGCCTGGATATCAATGAAACAAGCAAAAAAAGAAAAATTGTAAAACTGCTGTATTTTTTCCCCACACTGCACTTAAAGCCTATTCCTAATACAAACAACATTACCCAATCCAAGCAGCACTCACAAAAAGCATTGCCTCACCTTGCCTGTTCTAAATAAACCTTGACTATATTTCAGGCTGTTTGTGTGCTCGGTCACGCATGCAAGTTCATTTATCTTTGCCTTCTAATCTTAGTTGATTGAATGCAGGTGGTTTACAGACACTGTTACCCTGCTTATCCTCCTTCATAGCATCTCTTTGTAGTGCATACACACATGCTAGCACACATGCACACACGCTGAAATGTAACAGGCATACATGGAAGACAGACTACAGCTACAGTATGCTTGTGACTAGCATGGCAGTGATGAACCCTGTATGAAATAATCTTCTGATCTACGTCCTAATGAGCAATTACCAGATTACAGTTACGAAACGAACAGAGGAGATCTTCAGTATACACACATGTGATACACACGGTGTGTGTGTACAGCTCACAGCCTATGATTCATTCAGTGTGAAAGAAAAAGGTGGAGAATCTTTGGCGAGCTGGCTATGTGATGCTGTCTCTCACACACACCTGCATCTTTTTTTCTGAGTCACTTATTTAAAGATCGCCTTGTCTGCTTAGTATTATGTTTATACAGTAATATTATGTTCTAGCCAGCATGTTCACGTTATGTAATGGCATACCCAGCTCAGGCACCAAACAGCATTTTGAGTTTTAGTGAGGGTGGGTTTAAAGGTTGGTTAGGGGTAGAAACAATGAGAAAAGGTGCATTTATAATCCCGTGTATAGAGCCATGCCAAGCTAAAGCTCAAGTGACAATATTGGGGCTGTACTTGTGCTCCTCTTTGATCATTAGACTAATAGTCCTAACCCGGGATTAATGCCGAGTAGAGAGACAAAAAGGCCACCAGTGCGGCTACTCTCAGCTCCTCTAGCTCTGACACCCTGGACCTTGATCTGACACGCCTCCCCAGCACCAGAGCACAGATTATAGGGAGGTTAACTTATGTGGCTGGCTGGCGTGAGATTTAAAAGCAGTCAAACAGAAAGCCAGACATAGTACACTGCCAAACGGATTAAGCTCTGGCGGAATCCCCCTCCTTCAACTGCACCACCACCACATTTCTTATTCCCATTCTCTCATGTGCTTTCATCCTCATCGACTCGCGCCTTCTATCTCATGCACATGTACACACCGAGCACGGTTGCATAATGCATCCTCTGCACATGCATGGTCTCTCACATACTCACACACACACTGCAGCAAGTATCAACCAAGACAGAGCGAAAGATGGAGAGGCAGAGAAGGGAAGAGGAAGAGAGAGAAAGAAGGAGAAAGGCAGGGAGGTGGGAGCGGGAGTCCGGGAGGAAAGGGGGAGAAAACAAGAGAAAGGGAAAACACACAACTAGGACAGTCTTATGTAATTCCTCTCATCCTTATGCATGCATGCACAAAAAACACTCACTCATACACACTTCATGCTCCATCAGACACAGACTCACACATATTCATATCTTATAGCTCTTCTTTTCTATCTCCCTCTCACTCACACACACACACACACACACACACACACACACACACACACACACACACACACACTCCTTGTCCATCTGATTGCTGCAGGCCGTGGTCTAAAAGAGAACAGAGTAGCAGTGAGTTTTGCATTATTGAGCAGAAGCTGAGATAGGTACAACTATCACTACAGTAAACAGTCTGTAATCCCCATGCTGGCTATACACTGGAGACTCTTAGATACTGTATGTCTGTCTGAATCAAACTGCATACAGTAGAATACTTGAGTGAAACTGTAAACCCAGTTATGTGAAATGACTGCATTGTAAGTAAGACTTCAGACCGAAATGAGAGCAGAATTTGAAGAATCACTCCCTTTAAAGCATTTCCTTTTAGAATAATCATATATTTATAGAGATTGTTACGATAGGCTATAGTATCGCAGTGTCCTACAGTTATGGTATGTTTACATTTGCTCCACTGTTTTGGAGCTCTGGATGAAAAAGAGCCCGCTGGAAATGTAATTAATCAACCAGTGTTACTCACGGGTGTGTTTAACTCGTTTTCTATCAGAGAGCCCAGTCTAAATCTTCAGTTATAAATATGATCAAATTACTAAAAGCTTACTTAATTTACTTATTTTTTTTATTGCTTTGCTTGTTTTTTTGAAGCTTTGTGCAATGTTGTCTGTAACATGTTACAAAGCAGCAGTACTCAGATTACATTTGCATTGAAATGAGCAACATGATGTTTCCAGTCAATCTGTTACTGTCTCCATTGTTGCATCAAAAGACAAAAAAGAGAAAAAAAGAGTCTTGCTTGGGGTGATGATAAGTCTGTTAGCTGCTGTCAGCCGCTAACATGCTCTACTTCAAAATTTGAAGAAGCACCTGTGAGTTAAGTGCACCTTGCTGAAGAAGGGTGAGGCTGAAGAGGCGAACATCCTTGCTGCATCTGAGAAACAGGTAGCTTTTAGTAGAAGCTGTAACAAACAGACATAAACCAGCTTGTTGCTGGTTATGTGGTGGAGAAGATGCTACTTATATCCACCTGCTATACCTGGAGGTCAAATCTAAACAATCGGAGATAAATAGTAAATAGTCTGTTTTTTATAAAGTGCTTTGAGTGCTCTAGTAGAGTAGAAACGCACTTTAATGTACCAAGTTACCATCTATACTGAATCACATCTGGCTGCTGTTATTTTGAAGTAAATAATTTTTAATTTCAGGGGTCACTAGGATTCAAATGTTAGAAATATGCTGTTTTCTTCCCTCTAATTCAGTTTCCAGCTACAATAAAATTCCATCGAGTCAACATAACACATTGGCTAGAACTAACCTATTTTTTTTTACCTAGCAGTGCAATAGAAAAACTTTTTTGGGGACAAGTGCGCTTGTCCAAGTCCAAATATAAGTGCCATTCTGTTTCAAAAACAGGGGATAAGATTGGATATTTGTGTTTGTTGTGTGTGCCTGCATGGTTTATCTCACCTTCACTTCATCTTTGTGGAAAACTCACAGTAAATAAGAGCCTGCGAGGAAGCTGGATCTAAAAACAAACAGCTCCTCCTCTCTCTCGCTCTTCATGCTGTTTCCCTCTTTCACACATAAACCTCCCGCACATAACAGACTTAATCATGTGCGGCCCTTAGTCGGGCACTGATGGCTGTGAGCATGTAACTGCGTGTGCAATGGAGCCCTTTAAATATTTGAATTTGCCTGATGTCATTGTCCTGTGTCATTATTGGGGCTGTAACAGCAGAGGTAAATGACAGCTCAACCAAAGAGCTTATGGATTACAGAGTATCCAATGTGCATGTGCAAAAATATGCATTCCTTGAGCGTTTTCTTTGCCAAAAGATGCGTCAACAGTTTTTTCTGTGAGCTCCCCCTGCTAACATTTCATTTGGTTTCCTCCACCTGACCTTGAATGGCAGCAGGAAGTGTCCTAAACCAACTGTCAACCCAAATCAGACACTGGCTGCTCAGTCCGTTTCACACGTGGATGCAGACAGTTCTCCGTCATGGATGCACACATTTGCGCGCATGGACACACAACACGCACACATACTGAAGCTTTCAGAAGGCCTCGGGCTCATTTGCACTTTAACATGCACAAATTTGTGCCACACACTCGACCAAAAACAAACAGTACGCTGAAGTGCACGCACATACATGCCCACACACGCCCACACACAAACACAAACGTCTAACTGAAGCGCACTCAAATGCACCAGTTTAGCTAATACTTTTTTTTTCTGTTTCACACACAGATTTTCTCTAAATGCTTTAATTTCTCAAAACCGGTGCAGAAGTCTGCCGGTAGATGTGAAATTCTGTTCTTGCAAATACTAGATGGCAGGTTTGTGCAATGAGCCAGCTGCTTGGAAATATGCGGATTACCACGCGCTGCAGTTTCATGTGTGCTGTAACCACATGTGTGACAGTGCAACAATGAAGTAAAGCTAGTTGAGCATGAAAGTTCATTGTTGACCCCAAAAACTGACTGACAACTTTGAATGGTCGCTGATATTATAAGAAAAAACTTACCACGTGAAGAATTTTATTCTCTGTCTCATAGACAGTGCAGTCCTGTAGAAAAGAACAAAGAGGAACACATTAAGAAAACATCGATGTGTACATCCGCACTCCAGCTCAAGTGTCTTTCTCTAGTCCAAATATAACATTGAGGAAAGAAGGAAATGAGATGCCCAACAGGAAGAAATGGAAGGCATGTGGACCTGAGCAGTTGGCTATTTTGTTACAACCCCTCTGCATTATGTTTGACAGTAGAGTGACGAGTTTTAGATCTACTCTGGGGTCTGGAGCATCAAATTCATATCTGGATTTATAAAATGACTTTATTTGAAGCTTGACGGAGTGTTATTCACCGACAGCTGATAGGTAATGCATTTCTGAGAAGGCAGCCCACTGAATCCACCAGATGTGCACGGTAGCAGCTAATTAATCTGTCTGATGCATTAGTACGGACAGCGCTGCCACCTTTGTCTGTCTCGCTGCACCCTGGCAGCCACATGTTCATTTGGCCCATTGTGGACCTGCGGTGGTCTCTTTCTCCTCGCTCTTCTTTGGCCCTTGTAACAGGGGATGGGTGTTATCTGCTCGGTTCCAGGACTCATTCTGGGCACAAGTACAAACACACTCTCACATACACTCTAAGCAGGCTCTTACTGGGAGGATATGAATGGGGTCCAAGACATAGTTTCTGTCCAAACAATGAGATGGCTAAAGTACCAGAGTGAGTATGCTGGATATGTGTGTGTGTGTGTGTGTGTGTGTGTGTGTGTGTGTGTGTGTGTGTGTGTGTGTGTGTGCGTGTGTGCGCGCAATGTGGTGCATTAACATGAGGAATCGAGCCAGAGGGGAAGCAGAAGGAGGACAGGGAATTATAGGGATGAGAGACCTCTGGTTCACTGTTCAACAGAGCCTAAGTTAGGCAAGGGATGATGTCTAACAGTGAGTCGATGAGAATGTTGCTTAAGGCTTTTATTGAGAGCCACTCGTCCCATCAGCCATGCTGCAAACAGCCTGTGGCAATGCATGTAAGTTGCACACGTGCTCAAATCTATAGAAACCAGCTGTAGGCAACAAAAGCTCTATACATATTGATGTCTCCAATCCAATCCTGCTCTAGTGTTGACCCTTAAATTCAAATCATGACCTTTATTTTAATGGATATGGAAATGGTGTATTGTGTAATGTTTGCAGGAATGTGTGTGAAAGCACCTGTTGTACAATGGTGGTTAATTCTAGGCAGAGCTGCACAATGTTGTTCTTCAGTAATGAATACTCTGTCACACTGGCAAACGGAGACCTAAGAAAATAAAGAATAATAGGGATCATAACCTGAGAAATGTTTCTGCTGTGTAAAAACAAAACATCCAACAATTTTAGAGAAAAAATGTTTGCCTGAACAATTTTTGAGAAATATTGGCATTTGGTGTTTTTTTTTTTAAATATTTGCAATTTCATTTATTCATTAACACTGTAATTTAAAAAAAACAAAACAATCTAATCTCCATATGTTATCCCCCACCTGTCAAGCCAAGCTAGCAAGTTCTTGGCTGCACCAATTAGATCCACCACTGAAGTGAGAAAATCATTTGGTAGCCTTCGGGAAGCTCGCCCATCATAATGGCCGCCCCTCCGTCTGCCGAGGATGAAATTTTGGAGGTTCTTTGCTGAAGCGTTGAGTTTGTGGGATAGAGTCCGGAGGTTCTCTGTCTCTAGTCCGTAGTTCTGCAGGACAAACAGACAAACTGAGATCAGAAAATATGTTTATCCTGAGAATTTGAAGTTGGATAAAAACGTCACGACCTTCTGTGGAGTCAGGAGCTTCGCCAAAGAGCAAGGAGCTTAACTTAAGTTAGCTAATGTAGGGATTAGAAGACATACATATATACATATATACAAAAACCTAAATATGTATATATATATATATTTCAAAAGGTCTGGAAAGAGGAAATATATACATAGGGTTTTGGGTTGCTGATTTTTTTTAAAAACTCTGGATAAAATCATGCTAGCTTTTTCCTAAGTTAAGCTAACCTGACTAGCTAGAGGCACTGACATGCATATTTTTGTTCTGTTCAAGAATAGTGAGGCTAGCTATCACCTTCTGCTAGTCTGTATTTTAGTCCAATATACTTTATCTGTATAACAGACATGATATACAGTCAGTGAATAACTGTATCATCTGATATCTCTGAATGAATACTTTATCAGTTTCTCACATCATTGTGGACGATTGGCCCTCTCTTTATCACAACCTCGTTTCACTTCGTTCATTTAGTTCTCTTAAGGTCCAGCCAGAGCATTTCACTCAGGTTGAGGTCTGGATTTTGAAATGCTTTTATTTTTTTTATCTATATTTTAATTCTATTGTAGATTTACTGCTGCACTTGATATCAATTTTCTGTTGCATAACCCACGATTAGCTAACATTTTACTGTCAGACAAATGCTGTCACTTTCTAGAGTCACACCTGACTCTAGAATTCTTTGATGAGCTCATGGTCAGATTTCAGTCAGGTGCCCAGATGCTGTCACTGCAGACCAAGCTGAAATCATCACCCTCCACTGCCATGCTCGACAGTTGGTATGAGCTGTTTTGCCAAATGTGGCACTGTGCAACACATCTCATCTTTATTCCCCCACTCCCATGTAGAAAATGTATATGAAAGAAAAGGCTTTGTACTGTCATCAGCTTTTATACTCAGCACGCTAACTGAGGCCTGTAGAGTCTGAGATGTTTCTCAAAGTGTATTTAGTTTTTCACTGGGTTGCAGAGATGTCTGTGAAAAGTCTTTTTACATGTCTGTAGCTAGTGATAGATAAGCCTAATTTACTCGAAGACTAAGTGTTTGAAAAATATTTGTATATTTTGTAAGAGTATTTATTTTTTAAATACTTTTTTATACTTATTATTTAAAGCTATGATCTTTACACAAGTCTTAGCTGATCATGTGCAAAGATCATATTTAAGAAACATGAGTTAAATAAAAACTTATTCCGGGTGAAATTACATGAAATTTAAAAATGTCATCTGGGAATTACTAATAATCATTCATATAGCCACTAACTGCACTAATAGAAAAACACTGAGCTGGCTGAGTAGCCCATTACTGCACTGGGACCCTTTTAAATAAACAAACACACATCCACTAATCCACACTGTGCTCAGCATCCCAAGGCACCTCAAGTCATGTCCTGTATGACGGAGCCTGATTCCTGCTGACACACACACACACACACACACACACACACACACGCACACACACACACACACACACACACACACACACACACACGCACACACGCGCACACACGCACGCGCGCGCCTCCTTGTGTAGTCAGATCCACAGGCTGAGCTAGACGTATCTATTCCTCCTCTGCCTCTAGATCTATTCTACACAGTCACGACCACAGTGACTACAAAGGATGGAGGGTTTCACAGTGGCAGCAGAGAGAGAGAAAGAGAGAGATGAGGCAACTAAAGAAGTAAAGAGGCAGAAGACAAGAAGGGGGGAGCGAGACGAACAGAGACCGTACCCAGCTATGCATCTTGCTGAAACTGGGTCATGCATACACTGTGTTCTGGATAATCTCCTGTGCGAATGCAGATGCATGCATGTACATAGAGTGAATGGTTTGCACAGCTGTAATTAGGCTGTCATATGATTCAGTCTAGAGCTGTGTGCTGCTCTTTGCAGGCTACAGAGCGCTTGAGATGAAGCGGGGGAATAAAAGCGCATGAATGACTTTGACTTTGGAGAAAGAGAGAAGTAATTTTAGCAATGCTTGCGTGTGTGTGTGTGTGTGTGTGAGTGTGTGTGATGGAGAGAGTGTGCCAGATCAATACAGTAAGAGAGCGATGCCATTAGAGTACCACCCAGCCACCCCACCCCCTGCCATTCATGTCAATGTGGTTACCATAGCAGCCATGTTTGGAGTGGCCTCTTTGCTATGCTGGTATTTCTGCTATTGTTCGTACACTGAGTCACAATCACACATCATTTATGACATGTTTGGGTAAAAGAGGGACTTAACTATAAAACCCTGTTGAAAAGTAAAGTATTGCTCAGCTGCAGATTCCTCGGTCAAAGCTTTTGCACTATGCTTGCACCAAAATGTAGAATGTCTATCAATCATAGAAAGAATATATCCATCGTGCCCATGTTGCTTTCTGCAAAAAGATTTGGCCTCAATGCTCAAATTAGTCAGATGGATTCTGTGCAACCAATGAATTTTATATTTTTACTGCAGGCTTTTTGCATCTCTTCAAAATAAGTCCTGCTGTAATTTTTGTGACTGTTGAGCACTGCATTTAATATAACAGTGATTTTTTTTTAACCTTGATTGTCAGGGACATCTATTTACAGTTCAGTGAGTTAAATAAATGTTTAAAAACAGAGCTACATATAGCTTGATTTGTTTGTAATGGCCCCTTTTGTAAGTCTATTCCAAACTACTTGGTAAACAGTTAAAAGACCAAGTAATACACCAAGCATGAGCTGGTAAGCATGGTAAGAAATAAATGTTGCAACTAACTTTGTTTTGCAGTCACAAGATAGCACTGAGAAGGACCCACAAATGAAAGAGGTGCAGGGAGAGATGAAAGTAGAATAAAGGAAATGACAAAAAGCAGATTTGGAGAGTTAGAAACAAAAAGAAAAAATATGTATTATCAGTGAAGATTATGACAAAACAACTTTAATTGTTAAGTTACGAAAAGCTAATCACAATCAATCTCATAAACTCACCCAAAGTGTCAAAGTGAGAATCTTTCATGGCTGCCGCTGTTTCAATACACAGATACGTGCTCAGTCCAAAACTTATCTCATGTTACAGTGAGAAAGAAATTCCTTAATGAAGAGCAAAAGTGATAGATGATTGTGATAAAAGCTCTCACTGACATGTTTGTTTTCCAGTGGACAGTTTCTCAGCCTTTAGTTCACACAAATCTTTCAAACCACAGACACATTCAGTAAATAGTCACTCTTGCTTCTGTCATTTGCTCTACAATTTCACATTTATAACAAACTGAAAAAAAAAGTCTCCAACAAGTCGGAGTGACATGACTCACCAGACGGCCTAATGAATTTAGCCGTTCAGACAAAAAAATTTACAGGAGCTAAGGTTTGATTTGTTGCTTAAAGCTGTTTGTGGAAGTCTTTCCTCTGAGTTTATGAAGTACCTGTAGCACCAGACAGCACCAGGATCCTCCCACAGGTGTCTCCAAATGAAGAGAGGTAGTTACACACACTTACTCATGTAATTAAATAGCTTTAATTATTAATTATTCCCCACCCACAAAATTAGAGAGAGTTAGGTCAGAACCTAAAGGCTATGTATACTATGCACTTTTTAACTTTTTAGACAGGTGAGTTGTCACGCAGATAGCCAGAGTGCATCGATGTCCTTGGGATAAATCCTGAGCTAATATCACACCTATATAAGGCTGATGGTTTAGATCTGATGGATGTTTTTTTACAGGATACAAAGGGCAAACGTTAGGTAGTGCAGGATAAAGCAGGTGCAGGGTGGTACTTAGGTAGCATCTAAGTAGCACCCCTGTATAGTCCTGAGACCAGTTTTCCAGTGCTTTTCTCGTGTACGTTTATTTGAAGAGGAAAAAACTTCCACGGGACACCGATGAGAAAAGATACAAACAAAAATTTATTCCACAGCTTGTAAATCTTCTTACAGGAGTAATCAGGTCTAAGTTATCCTCAACAACAAACATACTACGGTAGAAAAACCGTGTGGCTCCCTCCCGGGATTTTAACTACAAACCAAGCCTTTAAGGCACATGTATTCACAGTTTTACTTAACCAAGCCAACACGAATGCAAGAAAATAACTTTAGTTCAATTATAACCGTGAATTTACTTATTAAATTATTAATTACACAAAACAAGTTTAACAACAAATATAAATACTGAAGTATATGAGCTATATTAACCTGGCTCCCACAACCCTGTTCACATAAATGGCCACCTTAGCTACTTAGGTAGCCTAAGTAGCCTGACTGTTAAAGTCGATTTAATTAATCAGTTAAAGCAGAACACATAATGTATACTGCAGTACAACCCTCACTATTAAATAGTGAGGGTTGTACTGCAGTACAACAAACTTGTTTGTATTTTTGTCCTGTAACTTTAATGGCACCAATATCTTTGTCTTTCATGTTAGGAAGGAGCAGTAATTTTGTTTTTTAAGTTATTTCCAAGCACAGCTTGCTGAAAATTCACTACCCACATATTCTACTTAGTATACATGCTGGGGGCAAAATTTGATTGCACAGGCATAAAAGAAGGAACGTTTCTACAATTACAGCAAGACTGAAAGCTCAGTCAGTTCTTGAAACCTGCATTGATCAAGATCAACAGACAGACCAGAGAGGGATCCCAGCTGAACCATGGGAGCCAACTTCATCTCTTCTTTATGACCAGACATTTCATTTCCTTTTATCGTCCAAATATTCAGGATCTACATGAACCACAGAGCTGTGGCGCTCAAGTTTTTCCTCACTAAATATGTTTTTTTTTAAAGATTTGGATTTATTGGGTTTAATATGGGTTTATTTATTCTTTTTTATTAGCCAAAATAATTGGAATCATAACGACGTCCCTGCAAGAGAGACTGGGCAAGGAATGAGCAGTGGCATGATCAGACAAGCTGTACACCTGCCAACAGATTACCCAGATTTTCTAAACATACCAAAAAATGTTGGTACTAATCCCTCTGAACATAAAAAAAAACTGTGTGTGCACAATGCAGCCTGTTTGTAGTCTTAGCATTACAATTGTCAGTTTGGATAATATTTCTGTGCTGTTTTTAAGTACACTATAAAAACGGGTAAATGTGGGCTATATTTAAACATGCCTGACTGTGTGTGCTTTCCCATCAGACGCTGACCCATTCATCAGTCTCACTAATTATCAGTGCAACTGATCGGAATGACGCCAAACAAATAAAAAGTAAAAGTACTCACAGCGGTAGCTTCAGTGGCTCATTTTGTCTGATACTCAGAATTTATGTCCGTGAGAAATTTCCGGACATATGGTGATCGCTACTGCTGGACTCTCATTCCCATACTGGAACATTTGAATGAGAAGAGGTGCTGATTAGCACACACACACACACACGACCATGTATGCACACACACACACACACACACACACACAGACACACACACAGACACACACATTCAAACAGCCCCAACTAATCCACCCATGTGTGCATGGGAGATAAGGTGCATCCTGCATACTCTTTCTACATTCTCTCTCTCTCTCCCATTCCCTCTCACCCTCGCTTTCTCTCTCTGGGAGAGTAGCACCTAATTCTCCCTAATTCTCTAATCCCGGGCAGGGCCGCTGCACATACAGTCAGCAATGACCGAGGAAGTACACACAAAGCGAGGCCTGAATGATTTTCTTTTTTTTTCAGTCATTTCTTAAGCCAATATCAATAACTGGTGGAGGAAAATAAACAAAAAACAACATATATACCTTTGAACCTGTTAGTATTTCTGTGAGTTATAAAAGAAGAAAACTCATAGTCACATCTTAAAGTAACTGGGAAAAAGGAGCAAATATCTTCTTGTAAAACCTACTTGCACATAATGTACTTTTTAAAAATCAGCTTCAACACTAGAACCAGCTATGGTTTAAAACCTTTAACAGGATACAATAACTTTATCCTAACAAAAAACAGCAGTTTACTTGATATCTCATATATCTAGATAATGTATTATTTTATATATCTAAACAAAACCAGAAGAAACTATAATACATTGTGGTATCCAAACAGGTGCAGTAGTTCATAGTGCTCCCTGACTTTGTCAAATCCATCTACATGTCGTTACAGGAGGGTTGTTGACATGGTGGCTAATCAATGAACCCGAAACCTTTAAATGAGTTGATTTTAACAGATTTTCCATATGTTTTATGCACTAGACAATGATTGTTCTTTGGTGAAATGTTCACCTATCATATATACACATACATACACTCACCAGTCACCTTATTAGGTACACCAGACTGAAACCACTTCTGCCTGCAGAACTGCCTTAACTTTGAGGCACAAATTCAACAAGGTGCTGGAGACATTCCTCAGAGATTTTGGTCAATATTAACACGACAGCATCACACAGTTGGTTCACATTAGTTGGCTTCACATCCATAAAGTCAAACTCCCATTCCACCACATCCCAAAGATGCTCTACCAGATTGAGATCTGCTGACTTTAGAGGCCAATTGAGTGCCGTGAACTCACTGACATGTTCAAGAAACCAGCTTGAGATGATCTGAGCTTTGTGACATGACAAAGCAGCCATCACTGTGGTCACACTGTGGACGCTGTGGTCACAAAGGGATGCACATGGGATGGCTCAGTTGGTGCTAAGGAAATATTCCCCACACGGTCTGTGTAGGTTCTCCGTCATCCCAGTAATGGTAGTCTAAGGAGCTTGGAAAGAAAGCGCCTGGACTTTTTACAGTTTAAGCAAGAAACTTAGAGAAGTCCAGTGGCTTTCTTTCCCAGCTCCTTGGATATTCCCCACACCATTACACCACCGCCAGCCTGAACCTTTGATACAAGGCAGGACGGAGCCATGCTTTCATCTTTATATGTAGATGTTTTCCTTAAAGAGCAGTTGAACGCGTGTGCCTGAAAAAATGACTAATGAGTGTATTTTTAAGCTTATTTTATCTCAGCAATAACTATAACTAACTAATAGCTATAAAAGAAGATAACAAGCATATCTAGGAGCTTGTTGACCATCACTCCATCCAGTACTGTGCATTTAAAATCATAGGCTGACCAGGGCGCAGAGGAGGTCCACGGCTTCCAGGATGAGCTCCTGGTGTCCTATCCTGGTGACACCCAGCTCCTCCAGCTCCTGATGGGTGATGTGAAGCAGCTGCTCTCCTCCCATCTGCTCCCGCTCGAAACTCTTGATGTACTGCTGGAGACAGTCATCCAGACCTAAGGAGAGTGGAGACAGACACAGATTAGGATGTGTTGATGTATCTGTCGTCTATCACTTTGCGCAGCTGTATATAGAAAAATATTTATATTGGCTTCAATCAGTGATTTAGAAGGCTTTCTGCTCTGAGACAAAGACGGAAAACACGATTAGGAAATATTGTCCCAGACATGACTGACTGACACAAGAATGAGCTCCTTTCCCGAGACCGAATCCTGGCTTACTTTGATGCAACACTGTAGTCAGGCATAAAAACATGCAAATTGTGCCTGCCAAATAGAAAGTAAAGATAAACAGCAGCCTCAAGCCAGGAGCTCTGACTGATCTATGAGCAACTTACTGACAGCTAGAAAACACATCTGTTGGTACACCTTTTCTGTACGGGATGATAAGCTTGATGAGGAAAAAAAAGTCTTTTCTCACCACTGCTTTTAACATTCAAGAGGCAATAAAAGAGATTTTAGAGCGAAAAGAATCTATTTCACACATATTTTGCATAATTAAAGAGCCATTCGAAAGAAAACGAGGAAGATGCGAACAATAAATCGACGTATGACTTGCTGCTGTTACGCTGTGGCTGCCTGCTTTGCACAGAGCCAATCAGCTGCACATAGGCGTGGTGGATACAATTGATCGGTAAGAGCCTCTGGCTTTGATTCAAATATAGTCAGCAAAAAAGGCGCATCTCCCCACAGATCTAATGAACGAGCCCGCTCCAAAACGAGCAAACACAGAGCAAAAAAGTTGCACAAGAGTAAGCAAATCCATGCGCACACACATGCACAGAACCACAGTTAAACACATAAGGTACACTCACTCCCCCTATGAGCATGGACTTCAAACACAATGCAATTACAGCTAGTGTTGCTCTTCAGGGTCTTGACACCTCTGTGGATGCCCGTTGTTAAAGCCTAGCAGAGCTGTGAGGAAAACACTGATGCCCGAGGGATGCAAAGCTTAAGAGCAGACAGTGCGGTAGCACCTCAACAAAGTCACCACACATGCGTATATAGAGTACACACACTTGAGCGAGATATCTCTTGGTCTTCGTGTGCCATGGGAGATACCAGAACGGGGGAAAAAGCCTGCTGTTGCTCTGAGTGACATGCAGACAAAGTGTTGTTACATATAGCACAGCAGAGCCATTTCAAAAGCAACACATCAGTGACACCGGTAGCAACACAAGTGGAAACTGTTTAATAGAATAAGTTCCCCGTGGAAAAGCCCTAATGGCCCACATGTAAGCATGTGTTTCACAGGTAATGATACAGTGTTGCAACGTGGAAGGCTTGTGTGATAACTTAGTCTGCACATGAATTAGGTGCATATGAGGATTTGTTTTCATATAGGCAATATTAGTACACATCAATACCGTTATTCAAGTACTATATTATAATTATTATGTTGCACACAATACAAAATTGAGGTACTGGTGCTTCTACCAGTTGTGTATTCCTGTTTTAAACAATTCATGCTTTCAAATTCAACCGAACAACTACTACTGTTATAACTTGTTATTTTTCTCATTTTATATATACGAACTTATTGGAAGTTACCCGTTTACTTTTTAATGCACAGGTACAATCCATAATCTGTACTTTTTTCTAAATATTCTATTTAAACGTCTTCCAGTAGCCTGCTCTGTCTGCACACTACAACCTGGTTTTGCCACTTTTATCTGTACTTTAATCTTAATAACTGTACAGTACTCTGTTTTTGTAACTATTGTCCATCATGTAAATATTTTTTTTCTGTAAAAATTGTGTGTGTTTGTTTTCGGTGTCCTGTTCTGTTTGTATATGTGCTTTTCTTTTGCTGCTGTTACAACCAAATTTCCTCTAGTGGGACATTTAAAGGATTATTCTATTCTAAATAAAAAAATATTTATGGCTTTTTAGAAAAAATCTTAAGAAATTATAACATTAAACCTTTAAGATATAAGACATGGCCAGGTTAGACATATTAGATGGTGTGTAAACTGTTTTGAACTATTTCTCTCCATTTTGCTAGGAATATAGGAAATTAAAATAATTAAAATACAGGATATGTAAGGTAAAAAAACAAACAAAAAAACCCAGTTTGTATGAGTCAATATTTGATTTGACAACCTTTACTCTTCATCACAGCCTGAACTCTCCCAGGCAAACTTTCTTGTCATTTCTTTAAGTCGTCTTCAGGAATAATTCTCCAGGCTTCTTGAAGAACGTTCAAAGCTTTTCTTTGGCTGTTGGCTGTGTTCTGTTCTGTTCTCTATAAAGATGATCCCACACTGCTTCAATAATGTTGAGGTCAGAGCTCTGGGCTGGTGAGTCCATGATTGATAGTGTCATGGATTGGTGTGTTTTTCTTTCCAGTAATGCTTTTACTGCATCGTTAGTGTGTTTGGGGTCATTGCCGTGCTGAAAAGTGAAGCTGTTGCCAGTGAGATTCATTCATTCATTAATTTCTGCGCTCATAATTTCATCAATTCTGACAAGATCTCCAACACCACTGACTGAAATGCATCCCAAACCATGACAGAGCCTCCATCCTGTTTTTTATAGATGGCTGCAAACACTCACTGTCATGCCTCTACCTTGACCATACATACATGATGATTTGAACCAAAAATGTTACATTTGGATTCATCGATATATCAGACCTGTTGCCACTTATTTTCAGTGGTGTTCTTGTGTAATCTGGCATGCCTCAGCCTGTTTCTCCCTCCTCCTCCACAGAGACCATTTCTGATCAGTACAACAGTAAATGGAACAACTGAAGGGCCAGATGCATCTTTTGGTCCTCCGTCAGGTCTTCACTGGATTTTTTCTTGTTTCTTAAGAATGTGCACGAATTTCAGATACTGTTCAACTGATGCACATTTCTTTTTGGCCTGCAGCTTTTTCGACTTCTCCACTTTCCTGAAATTTTTTTTCACACTGCACAAAAGTATGCCAAACATGACAAGTTTTAGTTCTTTGGGAATCACAGTGTTGGTGCAAAAATACTATTTCCTGCGTTTGGCAGTTTTTAAAGATTCAGCTAAAGAAATTGTATGTCTTTGCATTACAGTTTAACACTTTGCTAAGTTGTCTGCTGTGTTTAGATGCAGTGCTGGTTTGCCCTTTGAGTTGTTTCTGTCATGATCCTGGGTCGTTGACCCAGCGTTTTGTGTTTCTTTTTGGGTTCATCTTGTGTTTGGTGTTTATTCTGATTCTGTATTAATTCTTTGGGTTGGTTGTCGTGTTTATTATCCCTACCTGTGTCTCCCCTCTGTGCTCCGTTCAGGTCCCTGTGTTTTTGTTGCAAAACAGTCTGGGTGTTTCCGGTTTTACTTTGTAGGTCTGCCTCTCATCATGTCCATTAGTATCAGCTGTGTCCACCCCTGCATGTCATCTCCTCATTACCTAGTGTGTATTTATAGTGTGTGTTGGCTTCTGTTCATCGTCGGATCGTCTGTGTTTCTTGGTGTAACTACGTCTCTCTGCATTGTCCGCTCCCCGTTTCATGCTTAGGTTTGTTATTTAGTTTTCCCAGTCTAGGTTTTTTCAGTTATTCGTCTTGTCTCACTACCTGTTCAGTCGCTCCACTTCTGCAAATAAAACTTCATTCTCATCACCAGTCAACTGCCTGCATTTTAGGTTCTTTTCCTCCTACACCACACGGCTCACGCCGGCAGCCGTGACAGTTTCTTTTTATCCTCGAATGATTCATTGGTCACTGTTATGTGGCTTAACAAACAAACTGAAAAAACATCCCTCTGAAAATGGTCAAATATAAGAACTGGAGTTTAAATGAGTGAAAAAGCAGCCAATGCCTAAAGAAAAACCTTGAAAAGAGCTTCAGAACAGCTGGAGAACTATTACTAAAGGCCACTTTAAAAAATTACAAGAAACTCCATTTGTTTTACAAGACTGCTCTTGTTGACAAATGCTTGAGTAAGGCCAAGTGCAGTGCTATATTCTAGTATTATATTCAAATTAGCTTTAGTTTTTCTTTGAATACACCCTGTTCATTGCTGTGGTAAGACAGTCTAGTACAGTCTCATAAATCATCACCAGAGCTGGCAGAGACACGCACAAGTGGACTCGCTCTGCAGTCTCCTTTAGCCGGCCGCCAGCTTTAGAAGTAGAGAACATGGAGATAAAGCAGAAAGACAGCCTGCAGCTAATAAATAGGGTGCCTGAATATTTTACTCCTGACCCTCACTGTGAGAGGCGAGGGAAGAAAAAACTGTGCTGGCTATCTCACAGATGGAAGTCTTTATGTCCACAAGAAAGGTGAGCCTTCCTCTCCAACTAATACCTCTCTTTTTCTGCCACTCCCTCCGTGCCCTTGTCCTTCCCCATTTCTCCTTCCGGCGCAAGGGAAACACATTTTAATAGGGACCACGTGATGCAATCGGGCCCCTTTATAGCTTATTCCATCACGACGCGAATGAGATTTCTGGTGACAGTGTAATATCTTCATTGCACGTTTAAGATCGTTTGAGGGTGGAAGAAAGAGTTTTAGGCACTTAAGATTATCTCTGTCCGGGATTACACGAAGAAGGAGAAGACACCGAGACAGCCTAAATCCACACAAGACGCTTGGACACTCTCCCTGCCAAGTATCCCAAAAAACTCTCAACCTAATGGAATAATTGCGTAAATCAATTTTTGATTAGATTTGTTTTTTTATTCTGGACTAATCGATAAATAAATTTTTTTAAAGCCAACTCATTGTGCTTGAAGTGCATAAGGATTATAATCACAGTACTGTAAATTATATGGAGATGTGATGAATGAAGAATCAGAGGTCCAGGCTGACTAAGAGCGCCTCCTGGGGAAAACCACCTACTATACCATAGCTATAGTATTTCCCACCTCTGCAACACACACACATTTAGATGCAAAGAGATTATGCACACACATTGTAAGGAGATTTTTTTTTTTCAAATATATGCACTTACACACGCTCGCACTCGCATATGCATTAAAACGCACGCATACATCCACAGAGTGACACACAGCTGCTAGCC